GGTAAATTTAGAGGAGTAAGAAAAAGACAGTTTTTAATTTGTCAACCCAGTTGTAGACTTCTTCAGAATTGCTAGATTGCAACAACTTTGATAATTACCTGTTAATTTTCTTTGACAGTGAACTTTTTTTAAAAAATTAATTCACAGATGGCAAATTCATGCAGGACAGCTTAAGTATTCTTTGAGGGTACCTGCCTACCAGCCTGGCTCAAAGTGGAGGTTTCCCAGAACCAAAGCACACAGCTCACAATGTATTGTTAAAGTGTGCTTACCATAACTGTGCTGGCCATATAGCAAGCCCCTCAGAAAATCCTCATGCAGGACCTTCCAGCCTGTGGATTTGATTCTTTGGAAGGAAGAAATAGAGCCCCCCCATCCCCCAGCCCCTTGTACCTTTATTTGAAAGGGTAAGAGCTTCTAAAAAGAAATAAATAGAAATTTTCTGAATAAGTTTCTCATGAATAGAAAAAAAAATGAAAATACTAGAATCGTACACAGATGTATGAGGCTAGTTCAAAAGCATCAAATCTGATATTTTATTCTAGCTCTGCTTGGGGAAGCTTGAAAATGACAAATTAACATTATGTGATGAAAAGTTTGGCCAAGTGGAGATCCCAGGCTAGCAAGAGTTGTTTCTGGAGTCTTCCTGGTAGTGGTGGGCTACAGGAGGAACAAGCTTAATTCCCAACAGGTCTTTGGTAAAATGAGGATCAACAGGTTCTCCTAGGCAGTGCTGTATTTTGGAGCCAAGAAAGACAGCAGCCATGCATGTCTTTTCCCCAGTCTCTCACACTACTGGATATCAGCAAGGTGTACATCAAAATACAGCCTGCCAAGAGTGTTCAAAGACCTCTGTGTAGTTCTCTGAGAAGTTTTTCTATCTCAACCTGATACACTATATGCAGACCTATCCCTAGTTTATACCGTAATTTTATTACAGCCTTGTGGAGAGAATAGCTTAACTTAAAGTTTACATAGCTGAGTTTAACATGCCAGGGGGAATAGAGGGATTAAAAGAAAAGCAGGCCCAACTATAGCCTCTTCCTTCTCTCAGAGTACTAACGGGTCACAGGTGAAACACGCTCTGTAAAGGAATCATTACACTGGAGCATAGGAAGTATAAACATTTGTGCATCAGAAGAAATGGCTGAGTTAAGTGAGCAGGGTACATGCAGTAATTCAAGAGAATGAAAACAGTAACAAAAGCCAAGAAGACAGATAAAAGCAAAGAATCGGCAGTGCTGCCCGGAGTGCATCAAGGCCACACCATGTATAAAAGCACACCAAAAATGCAAAGCAACAACTTTATATTACAACTTAATTTGGCTCTGAGCCTTCTTTGTCAATACAAAAAGGCTGCAAGGATCACATAGCATTAGAATCAATCAAGAACCAAGGAGACAGATAAGAATGTGATAGCTAGCAGTCCTTCTTCTCCATGCCACACCACCACAACTAATCCTGGTATCTGTGAAAAAATGAAGTCAGTTTTGTTTAAAACAAAACTTTCTGTATTGTGTGCTCATACAATGAATTTTGCTACATTTATTGTGGCAGTAAAGTGGAAGAAGAAAACAAAGTTCCCATTCAATTATATAAACAATACCAGTAGAATGCATAGAAGTCACTCAAATTCCATCAAATCTTGAGGTAAATGCCATCATGTTTGCAAAGAGGAGTACTAACCTTTCAGGAAGAAACAGCAGTAAGACATAATAAAAAGATGGTAAGGGCAGAAGAACTGTCTCAACTCAAGAGAGAAGGCATTTAGATTATGTTCCTGTTTGCTCAAGTGTACCACTTAGACTTTTGCACAAGCATGCACATTGCAGGGTCAAACCACTCTTGATTGTTGTGGTTCTGAACAGAAGCTAAATAGATTGTAGCAGCTGTATATTCAACAATTTGGTGTGATAAGAAACAGACTGTCAGTGCTGAAGCATGATTAGCACGATATAAAGCTTACAAACTAACCAAGTTATGAGTTAAGGTAAACAATATTTAGATGACTGATTGCACATGATTGCATATTATATTTACAAATCCCAAATATTTCCTCCAATGTTCTGACATTAATCACAAAAATTAAATCAAACTATCCAAAAGCCTGAGATCAAGAAAAAATATTGTGCTGAACTGTGCTTTAATCTTAGCATACTCTACAATGTACATACGTTTTATCTATGCACAACACCATCATTAAGAGCAAGGAAATTTTAGTCTCTGACACAAGCAGATTTATTCAGGAACTCAACTGAAAACAAGATTTACTGCACACCCTCATGGTATAGAACAGGCCCCAACCATACATGCAGTGCACAGTATGCCAAATGAATTGCTGTACGGGAGCTAGAAGGAAACAGTTCCTGAACTTGTATCATAAAAGCGCTGCTATTTTTGAGCATCTACTGTGGCAAACATGTGACTTGAAGCACACAAGACAATAGCTTTGGTCACAAAATACCCTCTCACTCCAACACTGCTATTACAGAGCACTGCAACTGTGCTCTATACATTAAAACACCGACTGCCCATCTAACGCTGTACCTACTCTACAACTTTTGCCAGTAGGAGCTTAGAGGATTGCTACTGGTTCTGCTGGAAAAGGTTTCCTTCAGGGAAGGGTATTGTCTAGACAGATGGAGCATTTTACAAAGAGTGCTGTTACTCCCAACGCAGAACTGACAGAATATTTAAAATTGTCACTACCATACAAACTTTACTTGTTATACCCAATAGTTGGGATACCAAAAAATGCAGTATCTGTTTCAGGTGCTCAAGGTTTCCAGGCTTTGAAGACCAGTCAGAATGCTGCCATAGAAAAGTTCAATACAAAAAAGTTTACAGTACTCCTACCTCCTCTTCCCTATTCAGATTAACATGTTTTTGAACATATGCCTATGAGAAGTAGGACTGCAGTTTTCTTAATCCCCCAGCCTGCAATGAGGAAGATGATGATGTTAGACAATAGACATAGACAATAGAAACTGCTGTAACTACTCTTAATGGATAAACATTTTCTCTACACTGTTAATTAGATCTTAAAAAATTTGTTTACTTTTCAACTGCCAACAGCCAATACAGAACACAATAGAGTACTGGGAGAGTAGTGATTCTCCTTTACAAAGCAAGCATACTCACATTGGCTTAAAGCAGGAGTTAAATGAAGGAACACACAAGGAAGATGATGATTGCTCTTCCTCCACAAGCCTTAAAATCTTGTACTAATACACTTGCCACAAAAATTAGAAAACAGAACACTGAACGTGGTTTGCAGGTGGGAAAATGACAATAGCTCACTAGGTATCCCTAAGATCCACTGCACAATGCTGGACACACAGTTAAGCTGCATCGACAGTGCCTACGGGCTTGTTTTTCTCCATTGAAGAAGTTTGGTTACCCAGCAGACACTTTGCAACCCCACTACGCTGGAATTCAGGCAAAGCTGAGTCCAGTATCTGCACCACGAATTGCTCAATCGCCACAGGCTGACAGGAGGGCTAGTATAGTTTTCCCAGTTAGATCTCCCTCCATCTCTTATGCAATCTTCGGGGCTGTGAAGGAAACAGTATTTATATGCTTTTAGATTGTTACAGGTTTGAAAAGAGATGTTGGAATTTCTCCCTAATATCAGTTACTGGGTAGCGTGCACCTACAATGAAAGGACATCCCCCCACCTTTTCCCGGGGTGGGGGGAGGCGGGGAGGAGCGACGTCGCGTGCAGAGGGGCAGGGAGTGGGCGAGGGTTGTTTTTAAACTGGCCGGTACCAGGCACTGGGGCCTTTCTTTGTTGGTCTTCCTGCCTGGCACCCGATGGAGTCGGCAGCCACCTTTTTTTTTCCAATTCAGCCTCCGAGAAGAAGCCTTCCCCTGCCTGGAACCGTCGTTGGAGATCGGCCCCAGTCCTTCGCCGGTCATCACAGCAACCGCCGGGATAAACCCCAGGAGAGCCCCTGCCGACCGTTTTGGAGCGAGGTATCTGTCCCAGGCCCGCCCTGCGCCAGTGCTGCATATCAGAGCATCTCCCAGGGGCTGCTGCCTGGAGCAGCCCGCCCGCCGCTGCGGGCAGTTATTTCCTGAGCTGGGGAGCCCGGAGCTGTTGCGGAGGGCAGCGCCCATAGCCCTGGGACAAAAGGGAAACGCCCCTTCATTGTTGGCAGTGGAGCCACCATCGCTAACGTGGCTGTGAGCAGTTGTTGAGCTACCGGGAACAGCCCGCGGACTCTCACGGGGGCCAGGGCAGCTGCCACCTGGGGAAGTAGGACTTTGTTTTGAAAGTTTTGGTTGCACTACTATTACTTATTCACGTTTGTTATATATATATATATATATATATATATATATATATACACACACACACATATATATATATATATATATACACACACACACATGCTAATAAAGAGCTGTTATTTTCTTTTTCCACACCTTCCACCTGAAGCCTCTTAATTCTGAGGTTATAATAACTTAGAGGGAGAAGTTTGGTTTTTTTTTCCCTAACCTGCCCTCCTTAGCAAACATTTGTCCCTTGTTAAACTGTGACACAGATAATTTCTCCTGGCAGACTGGAATCTGTAAAAAAAACAAAACAAAACCAAACCCCAAACAATTCACATTCAATATGTGCATCATATTGTTTTCAAGGTAGTGGATATGTCCTTGGAGAGTCTTAATGCATGACTACTGAGATAGCATATGCAAACTCATATGTAAACACCTGAGCCTATTATCTGGAACAAAAAATTATCATGTTCTTTCCTTACAGTGATACATTTTTATTATGGGGTTGGAAGACAGTTATGTGTACATCTAAGCTCCAGGTGAGAAATGTGTTATTTGTAGTTTTCCTCCTAAGGGTGTACATCTGTACAGGATAGAATGTAATTTACCACAGAGGTTCTGCAAAATCAGTCTGTAAATTTATAGCCTGCAAGCAGTTTTGACAGTTATTACCCCAAAGCACAAGTCAAAGTAACAAGACAGCAAACCAGATAAAGAAATCTTTTTCCCTTCAAAACAATTTTATTGTAATAAGAAGGGTTAATAAAACCCTTGTTTCAGTAAAGAAATATTAAATTCTAATTTTACATGTTGAAATATTATAAAACGACAATCCTGTGACTATTGCAGCATTTTAAAAATGGTTGGAACTTCGGTCATTTTCACTCATTTTCATATCCCATCCACAGCAATCAAAAAATCAGTTTTTTTGGTAATCCTGAAAAGTGTAAATCACATTGTTAGCAAAGTAAAGGGGTCCAGCCCTCTCCTCAAGATCTGATACCATTCTCAAGATATATCTACTCTGAACTGCTTAATGCTTAATACTACAGTGGCAGTACATGACTTCTTCTAATGAACCTCAGAGAGTGATAGAATCAAAGCACACTTAAATCAGTGTGTACTCCAAATGAGTCACAAATTCTGCAATTAAGTATTAATTACATCTGAGATACATGTAAGTATAAAAACCTAACCAGTCAACTGTTGGCATGAAAAGCTAAGCCTTAACCCTGTCCCACCACACCAACACTCTTAATAATTTTTCTTACATGCTGTCAGATCGAGGACAAATTCCTAACCTTAGATATGAATAGAATGGCTTTTGTTTATTTCCAAACCAATGTAGAATAGTTCTGATATTAGGTAGATTCTTTATGCTGCATTAACTCAGGAAAAAGTTTAGTGTACCTACAGCTCTGTAGGAATGCAGATCAATAAGACTGCTTCCTGGGGAAGCAGTGCTGCTTTTGGTTAAGTGCCAGAGTGAAGATTGACAGTGATGTCATCATAATATCAGTGTCTCCACATACCACACTGAACAGAAGTAAGTGGCAGCAGCAGACAGAAAGTATGCATGTTTAATACTTTTCACAGGCAGTCATCCATCCAGTGACAGTTTTTCCCTGACAGTAGAGACTGTTCTGTGAGAAGTACTTAAGTTTGGTGAACACGCCCCACAGGCTACAGGGTTTTGTTGTTGTGGAAAAGCAACACTTAGGGTGATGGCAGGAATCTTTGTCCTGACAGGTCCTGATGCCAATATTTTACAAAAGGGTATCCATCAGTAATCATTCAGTCTATTTTGCCAAGCTCCAGAGTGCTACCTGGACAAGGCTAAGGAAATGTATTGTGCAGGATGCAAGGGTAGGCCAGTCTAAAAATTTCAGGGAATACAGTTTATTTTTCTCTGAGATTACTTTTGCATATTTCCACCCTCAATAGCAGCAAAAACATGCTGTCCTTCAATTTTTATTTAAATAAAGACTGTAGGATTATTCTTCCAAACAACTATTCAGATTTTAAGTGGTAATGTCATATAAGGATGGCAAATGAAATCCAGGGCAGCAGATTTGCTAGCTCTTAACATTGGCTCTCTCCTTAAATGTTTGTTGGCACTACCTTTGAGACCTTCTGATTCTGTCAGCCCAGCTAAGGCAAAACCAAAACATAATGGAAAATCCATATCAGAAAATCCATTACGTTTCTGTTTTCCACTTAGTGGAAATGATACTGCTTTTTATGCTGATACTCAAATGTCTCAAAAATTAATGCTGACTTCTTAAATGCCTCATTTATAGTTAATCTCAAAACTCCTAGCATTTAACACATAAGCTTTATTTCATCTTGTTGAAGATGAGACTTTTTGAAAGATCTTAAAGCAATTATTGTTCTAGCTTTATACAGCTCTGGAAACTCTGCCCATTGTCAAATACAACAATTAAGTCACAGAAATCAAAGAAGCATTTCTCTTTTTCCTGTCCTTTAGTTAACAGGCCTATTTTAGGGCATGTACTCCAAAACACTAGTCACAAACCCTCAAATGATCTTTGCAAAAGGAGCTAAAAAGCTTAAATTAATTGCCTAAGCTACCATAACTTGACAAGTTCCCACACATCAGCTGACCGATGGTACTGGGGTCAGTAAACAGTGTGCAAGTAGTCTGCTGATTAAATTTTATTTTGAGGTTGAAATCTTAAGGTAGTGCATTTTACTTCTAATTTGTCACAGACTCTGAAACAACCATTCAAAGTGCCTAAAAGTTAAGTTAAACTCTAATAATGTAGTTGTCTCTCTGAACTCAAGAGGAAAAACACACTTCTATGGAAGCATCTCTATTACAAAGAGATACCACTTTTGAGTATTATTGAGTCTTATACTGGCAATAACAAAAGGGCTCATGATAATCTGACAGCTGCCATCTAGCATATTCCAACTGTTAAGAAGACCAAATCCAAGTTTAAGAACCAATATTTGCCTCTCTAATAGAAGGTCTGAGTAATTTAGCATCAGATACAGATGTTGAGTCCTGAGCACTTTTCTTGCCACGAAGATATGAAATAATGCTACTGTTTGGGGAATACTGAAGGAGGGTCACAGAAATGTGCTTCATGTTCCTTACCCAGAATGGTCTAAACAATTAACTTGCTTACCTGATGAGAAAGAAAGCAGAAATCTCTCTGAATCTCATCTACATTTTCCACTCTGTCATTTCACAGAATCACATGCTATGTTTTGGACTCTTATACTCCTCTCCTTATTTTGTTTTGTTTCAAGTGGTGTGAAGTTAAATTACTTCCACCTAAGTAAGATGCCTCAGGAAAAAAAGGCTCATCATAATAGCCTATAATTTACTGGGCAGTATCACACACCATTAGAGCAATTAATGGAATTGGATATTTCTAACAAATAGATATTTCTAAGCATCATAGAAAAGAGTCTTTTCTGTACTAATTCTGTCAGAACACAGAACTAAGTCATTCTCACCCCAAAGCATTTATCCTAAACCACAAATCACTGAAGGGTTTCAGCTGGTGTTGGTGCCCAAGGAATTAGTCCATTCAGAGAGTTTGTGTTCTGAAACACTGAAACATCCCATCCTCTCTGAGCATGTAGCTCCTATTTTAAAATCAGTGAAATATTAAGACGTTACCTTGATCTATTCCTTCTGTTTTTTTCCTTTTTAAATTTAAAAGTGCATTTTGTTGCTCCTTTACAGCTTCTGCAGGACAGTTGGGTCTTGGCAGCTGATTTCCTGGAGTGGGTCCTGGTCGATTACTGAAATACTTCTGTTTCAATGCCTTGATGACAATAGAAGAAAAATAACCAAGTAATTAGCATTAAGTGTCAGAATACTATTTATAAAGAAGTTATAATGAAATAAAGCACTTGCTGTTGGGACTTAAAAACTACTTGGACATTTTATACTACAAGGTGGCCTTGGGGCAAATCAAGTGTATGTTCTTAATTACTATCCACCCCACTTAGATTTAGTGAAGCAAGGGACAGAGTACTGTTATTTTCAGCTAGCACTCAGACATCCTAACAAAACTCTAGACTATTTTGCAAAAGGTCTTGTATAAGCAGTTTCTAGCTCTGAAGAGCTCACATTCTGAATAGACTAAATAGTCTTAGATGAGAGAAGAGTCTCATCTGTGTAAAGAGTAAAGTAGGAATAAAGAAAAATTAAAGAGAAATTAAAGGAATGTATCTGAAGTCTTGATCAGATCCAGGACTTGGACACCAGCTATTTTGTTAGCTTTTAAGATTTCTTTACTGTGCTGTTTCTACCCTGTAAACTATGAGAAAGGCACAATTTCTATCGGAGCAGAAGACAAACACAAGAGAGCAAGGTTGATTTCATGTAGTGGAATTACATACCCTATTTTAAATTTTAGGAACTTCACAGCTTCCATAAAGTGTGGTCAACAAAAAGTGGCTAAGGTGTTTCCTAGGCAATCATTACTCTTGCTAATGCCAGTTACATGATATTCAATGCTAGTTATAAATGAAACCAATACTGTAAGCACAAGTTGTTTCCTGCCTTAAACTGTGGCATTGCCAATAGTCTAGACTGGAAAAATACACTGTCCTACAATATGATCTGAAAAATCACTTCATACATATGAACTGGTGTCCCAAGCATAGCAGAACTAATAATTTGGAAACTTATACTGAATGTTCTTAAAGATAGTGGCCAAAAAAGTCTGAAGGTGCTCTGAAAAAGTCATCTATAAAAAAATACATAACATCTACACTAATCCCCTGGATTCAGATCTGCCTTGTCTAACCAGCAATGAGGGAGCCCTGGCCTTAAGGGGACAGTTCTGTTTCTTACATGCCTCCCTAACAGTGTAAAGTGACAGAAATACACTTTTCAAACTGCCAACTGGTATATCTTCCTCATTACAGAAATCAATATCATGAACTAGAACATTCTGCAGGATTTTCCTTTGAAAGTCCTTCATTTCTCACCACCAGGGAGTAGTGAAAATGAAAGTATAATGGAAAAGGATATTTAGACGAGCATCATGGTTTAAAATCACCACAGAATTTCACATTAAAAAAGCATCATGAAAGTTTAAATGAAATTGAAGAAGACACTGGATGAAGTAAGTCTGAAAATCTTTCAAACCGAGGGAATAGGATATGCTATGTTAAGACTTAACCTTCAAGCTTAAAGTGACTGAATTCCAAATGTCAAATACGACTGTCTAAAGGCGATGACTCACACACCTTTTAATTGTCTACACTGGGAACAGAGATGATCAGTTAGCATTATCCATGCCTTTCAGAGTTCTCTTTGTAAAACACTGAGATTAGGTTTTTGGAAATTCATGTAACATTTCATTTCAAACCTGGCTTACTGGCTTCAAAACACATTTATTTGATATTAACAGTAGATTAATGCACATTAGGACATAACTCAAGTGTACTGTACCTGAGTAGCTGTAACCCTAGTGCAAGGATTAAATGTAAATAAGCCTTGAAGAAGATTGAGCAGATCATCACCAGCTGCACTGAAGATATGTTGAAGTGGCATTCCAGGGAAAGATTTAAATGTGACATAGTCTGGAAGACTCGTCATCCCCTACAAAGACCAAAAATGGAATATATGTTTTTTACTTAAGAGTTCAGTTTTTCACAGAAAGCGAACTTCATATGGCTGTCTTTCAGCAGAAGCAAATCATTTTCAAAACACCTTGCTAATACTTGGTCACTGAAATGACAAATGTAGGAGTAGTGAGCCATAAAGACTTTTTTTTTCTCAGTAACTGTTCCAGTTGTTTTACACTTTCCCTTTCCAAATGATCTGTCCTTCCTTTGCTTTAGCAGTGACCAGGCCAAAAGGAAAAACTGTTAACAAAGAAAGGAAGTAAAAAAACTTTAGAGTGGATGCAGACAAATGAAATAAAGGTTCCTTTTGTGATCTGACATGGTGGGAGGGAAAATATTCACAAAAGAGCAAGTCTTTCTCCACATTAATAAAATTAACTGCATTTTGAGCTACTTTTGAAATGCACAACTGAAAATTTATATGGGCTGTTGGAGGAGGGAAGGAAAATATATACCAAGCAGTTAAACAGAAGATGAACTGCGTACTGTTTCTCCTGTAGGTATGACATCAATACCATTGTATTCAAATTCTAGCATAAAAATGATCTTGTAACAACTATCCAAATGTAATACTTTAGTAGTATTTTAAGTATTTAGTCATCACACTTCAGCAAGTTTGTCCAAACAAAATAAAATATGAACAATAAAGTGAAAAATGTGCTCAATCAGTTACAATCTTGATAGTAGAGTTTTCAATTATTTAAATGCATGGGCTTGCAAATTAACTTTGGCTAGCAAAAGAGAGATGATGCATCCCAATCTCCTATTCACTCCTTTCCCCACCCATATCTTAACTCTTCCTCTCCAAAGAAAGCAGGAATGTCACTGCAAAAACCTTTACGTGTTTCATTCAGAATCCCAGAGCAACAGCAGAATTGTGTGGGGCTAGCACTGCCTCATACACTATTTCTCCATATGGCTACAGCTCCATTTCATGATCATGTACCATAGCATTCCAGTACAATTCACACAAAGGAAAAGCAGCATGGAGAGCAGAGGTTAACAAGTACAGTGAGTGCTTCCATAGCTCAACAACAATTCCTGGTCAGGGAATTCAGAACTCCTGATGCAAGTTGCTCATCAGAAGTTATGCCCCACTTCCTGTCAGTCTGTTTAATATCCATAGTTAGGTAGGTCACTGTGTGCCCTGACAGTAAGTTTTGCCTAGTATTACTGAATTTATTGTCACTTCAGAGATAATTGTACTACTAATTTGTATTTGTTACCATACTGTTGTTGAGACAAATTGTTCATCCTTAAAGCTGTTGGTCTGGTGTTTCTTACTGTATTCCAAACTATAACTTACCTTGACCAACTTAGATCCCTATAAGTGGTTCCTACTTATGAAAGTCATGAAAGGACACAGAAAGGAAACCATAAAGTGTTGTTAATCTTGCTATTGACCAGAGGTTTGTCAAGAGAAACAACAAATCTCAGCTGCTCTGTGAGATGAGGCTACTGCCTTCTGAAAATCTACTCAAGTATTCTGGTATAACCTTTCATTTAATTTCAGAAGTTAAAATAGAGAGTATCAAGTAAAACTAATGTCAGTCTGTTAAACAAAAGGACTCACAGGCCACTGCTCTTCTGTTGGAGTGCCCAGTGTTTCAAATATCCTTGTCAGCTGGTCAAGATCAGAGTCTCCAGGCAAAAAAGGAACCTAGAAGGTAACAGCATGTGATTTAATTAACTTCTGAACTTCAGTTTTAGAGTGGAGCTTTGAGTGATCACTCATAAGTGCAGGGCAAAACACTTCTGTATACCATCTCTCCACAAAGAGCTACATTGAATATTGAGGCATTCTACTGATGTCCAAATAGATTCTGAAAGTTTCTTGAACCTGGGCTTCATAATGTTGACTTGACAGCAGGGAACTAAACATAAAATTACACAACCACATTAATGTAAAATAACACAGGAAAGATTTTGCATCTTAGTTGTCAAAGTCATGGTGATCCTTCCATCATATGTTCCCTGAAGTTAGCTTTTATATATATATATTCAGTACATTTAAAGTGAATTGTAACTGGATTACAGAAGTTAGATTGAGGAAATGAGATTTAAGCATGAGGGAGACTAGAGACTCACTAGAATAGAAAACTGTCTTATCAGTATCACATGTTATTTAAACTAAGCAGAAGACTGAAAAGGGGGTATCTGCCCAGTTCAACTTGTACCTTGCACACCCCGCACACAATGGAATTAAAAAGAAACTTTGTGACCAAAGCAAATTTATAAAGAATTAGAGACAGCATTTAACTAAGCAACACAGAAATACCCACAACTAAACTTTGGCATCATGAAAGCCCCTCAAACATAAACTGCTTTCATAAAGCTCCCAGAAGCTGCATTGTCCTGAAAAAGGACAGATACATTTAAAAACACCACAGTGATAAAACTGAATCATAATACATTTTCTACTTTGTGAGAAACCAAAGAATCAGTTCAACAATTTATTTGAATTCAACAACTCAATAAATTCAACAAATTATTTGTCTTCTCACTTTGCTAAAATTTAATCACTTTACCAGGTCTAATGCATATTTATGTAAACATCACTAGTGTTCATTAAGCAGCCAATATATATTTCCCTGTCTGAACTGCCAATCAAATCGCACCAGCATACCTGTTTGGTGTGGCAAACAATTTCTTTTGAGGCGTTTTCACACAGACCAGTTCTCCAGTCTGGTTATGAGACAGCCAAAAAAGCATTCCAAGTATAGTGCAGAAACCAAGCAGAAGCGACTTAGTCGTGGAAGATAAATGATACTGCAGGCTACTTTGTGCCTTCAGCTGTGTCTGTGCCCCTGCCCTTCACTCCCCCCCTGACACTTTCATGTCTTCTCCAAAGAGCTGTATAGTAAACGTTCTAGTTCAATAAAACATACTTAAGGACCATGACATCTGTGTACCATACAGAGGAGTGCCATAGGATTATCATAGCGTTAACCTTCAGCTTCATTCTAGTATTGTCAACCACAGCTTAGAAAAAACATTGATCTTCTGTTCGTTATACATAAACCTACAACTAAGGTGTGGCGATTATAATTTGCAGGTAGTGAGAAACAATGTATAAGGGACAGTGTATGCATGTATCTAGGATGTCACATTTCTAGAAGGCTAGCGAATGAAACTCATAGAAGGCTGTGTGAAACTGTAACACTAAGAGGACTGGAAGAGTTACCTACTTGGCATCTGCCAAGGCAAGACTGTGACAGTTTGTTGCAACTTTTTTACCCAACCGTTTTGAAAAACTTCCAATGCTTGTGGATGCTAATAAAACCTCAGTCTACTGCAAAACTTCACTTTCATTACAGTTAACAAGGTTTTGGAAACTTTCTTCTACCCTGTCTTTACCTGCTAATGTTAGCAGGAGAGAAGCAGCCCACATAAAAAGCTGTAGTGCACTAAAGAGCAAACACAAAATGCTTACATTTGGAGACTTACCCTGAGGAGCAATTCAGCTAAAATACAACCAACAGCCCACATATCAACACCAACACCATACATTCTAGCCCCAAACAATAGTTCTGGGGCTCGGTACCATCTGAAAAGAAAACACATTTTGGGAAAATCACCTGGCTTTGCTCATGTCAAATGCCGTGTATTGTAGCAATGCAAATACTAAAAAGAGGATGCTGCTTCTGCCTATATACTTTCAGACACTGAAGAGCTGTAGTCTACCCCACAAAGTGTTTTGTTTAAGAAAGACTGAAAAAATTTGTGCATTCCTCACCATAGGGTCACATGCAGCCACAAATTAACTGCAGTTTCAATTGAGCTGATTACAAGCAATGGAACTGCAGACATGCCAAGGAAGAAAGTTTTTAACTTGCAGGTTTGCAGGTTATAAAACAAAATTTTCTTAAAATTTTATGTTGAAGGAATGACTAGCTACAAAAATGGTTCTAGGTCTTGTGATTAACAGAAAGTAGCAGCTGTCTTGCTCCCAAAACCAGGCTTACAGGAAGATACATATTATTTCCATATATTTCAAAAGAGTATCATACCAAAGAACAACTCCCAGGGATGCATATTGTAGCAGTTCTTATGGAGATTTTGTTAAACAATGCTTCCCTGCATGTTCTTTATGAGGCTCTTGCCACATAATATGAACTAGATGCTACTCTTTGAATATGTTGATATGACATGAGAGAAGTGCCAAGAGACACCTACAAAACAACTAAATAATCTCTGTCTAAGAAACAAAATAGAATGTCTTACCTCGTTACTACCTGGTGTGTATAAACTCTGTTTGGGCTTCCAAAAGATTTTGCCAAGCCAAAGTCAGCTAATTTTAAAACCCCATTTTCATCTAACAGCAAGTTATTTGGTTTAAGATCCTGTCAGTAGAGAAAGCAAATAATGAATTTTGTCAGTATTGATAAAAGCAGACATATAATGAATCTCCTAGCAGATGTATCATAAGAGTATTCTAAAATGAAAGTTTTTGATTCTATGTGAAGTCTATGTTGTTAGAAAAAAATAATAAAACACCGGAAAATGAGTATTTAGTCACAGAGGAAAATCATAGTGAGACACACCAATTTGAATATTAACACATTTAAGCTGCAGACTATAAAAAAGCCACTTCATAGGTTTTAGCTTTGCTGCAGGACCAACAGTTTTGTTAACCACATAGATGCCAAGTGAATAATAAAAAGACCTTGCAAATGTTTCAAATAACTGCAGAAATTATGGAAGTCATACAGTTTGATACAGTAGCAGTATGTTGTTGTTCTCTACCCCTGGCCAGTAGAGAAGCATCCACATAGCCATTTGCTCATTCCATTCTCATGCCAGAAGTCCAGGCAAAAGAAGACCAAAAGCAAGAACACTCTAGGCACACTATAAAGGCAGTTTAACAGGTGAAGGAAAGAGGAAAAAACAAAAGCATGCAATGCAATGGAAATCATTCACTGTCTCCCACAAGCAGACAGGTACACGAAACAGTCTCCAAGAAAGAGGCAACCCGGAAGGCAAAATCCCCCCTTCTTCTCTAACCCAGGTTTTTAGTAATGATCATGGCATTATATGGCATGCAATATTCATAGGGACAACTTGAGTCAGCTGCCCCAGCTGTGTCCCCTCCCCACTTCTTGCCCACCCCCAGCCTACGCATCGGGGCAAGGGCAGGGTGGAAAAAAGAGAAAGCCTCAACAGTTCACCTGCTGTGAAAAAAGTTCAATCCATCCCAGCCAGACCCAGTTCACAGTGATAAAGTCACATCTAACTGGAGAACCTTTTATATAAGTATTTAAATGAAAATTGCATCAGTAATTCTTAACATTTCTGGTACTTCTATTGTCTCTCCAAAACACGTAATATGAAAGTGTATGGAGTGAGAGTGCCTGAACTCCAAAACTACTTTCATCAGACCTTAGACTCAAACTTTATCCCATGTGAGTTTTTTTACAGCATAAAGGCTGTCAGTTTAGTACATGCTTACCCTGTGTAAAATCCAGTGTTGATGTAGATATTCTAATCCTTGAAGTGTCATCAGCATATATGCCTTGATGTGAGACTGTGTCAACACAATACTTGTATCCTTTATAATAACCTGTAAAGTTTTAACATGACAGTAAAGCTCAACACACAAGATAAACTTATTACCATTCTTTCAGCTCAAAAGTTACTTCAGGCTCAAAGAAAAATTTCAAACAGCAGTCACAAATTCTCTACCATTCTCACTCTTTTTCCAGAAATACAGGTCTATTCTGGAGATCAGAAATTGAAATCCAGAGCCCAGATAGTCTACGTGAACTCTTCCCAGGTCAGCAGAGACCTCTCTGGAATTCCCAAGACAGTTCAAAAATAATTGAGGGAGGTTGTGCAATGACATCATCCTCTGAGGATTCTGGGATGAATCCCATCAGGCCCCATACATTTGCAGGCATCCAGCTGCAGCAGCAGATCCCACTCAAGTTCAGGGACAACTTGGAGTTGATCATTCTCACAGTCATGGGTCTCCAGCTCAGGGCACTGAGACGCCCTTGGTCCATCATCAGTGTTGAAGACAGAGGCACAGAAAGTGTTGAACACCTCTGCCTTGTCCCTGTCCCTATTTGTGAGGTGACCATTCTCATCCTGTAACGGGCTGGTGATATTTCTATACTGCCAGTTACCATTAATGTATTTGAAAGAACTCTTTTTATTGTCCCCCACATTTCTGGCCAGCTTCAACTCTAGTTGAGCTTTGGCAGCACAAATTTTTTCCCTACAGCACCAAGCAGCATCTCCGAATTCTTCCCGTGTCACTTGACTTTGCTTCCACTGGGCATATACCTTTCCTTTTTGCCTTATTTCCAAGAGAAGATTCCAGCTCAGCCAAGCCAGCCTTCTGCCTCACCTGCTTGATTTCCAACATATGGGAATTGCTGCTCCTGTGCCCTATGGAGGTGAACTTTAAAAAGTGACCAGCACTGATGGATCTCAGCACTGGCAAAAACATTTTCTCAGGAGACTTTCCCAATTCCATGAGCAGCCTGAAGTCCACTCTCCTTCATGTCCAAAGTTGAGGTTTTGCTGGCACTTTTGTTCCTGTCAACAGAGATTTTAAACTCAATCCCTTTGCGGTTGTTGTGGCCAAGACGGCCACCAATCTCCAGTTTGCTCACAAGATCCACTCTGTGAATAAACAGCAGATCAAGGAGGGCATCTTTCTGAGTCAGCTCCCTTAGGACTTGTTCCAGGTTTTTTAGGAATTTTCTGGCCCAGGTTGTGTGATGCTCTCAGTTAATTTCTGGCAAGTTGAAGTCCTCCATAAGGACCAGGGCAGTTGACTTGGAATTGTGCTTAGTTCCTCCAAGAACTAAGCACATCATCATCATCCTGGCTGGGAGGTCTGTAGCAGATTCCCACAATGACATCCACATTATATGCTGGCCCCTTGATTACCCAGAGGCTCTCTCTCAACTGTGCCACTGGCCACTGTGAGCTCCATACATTCTAACACTTCTATTACACACAGTGCCATCTCTCCGCCTCTTCTGCCCTGCCTATCCCTCCTAAAGAGCCTGTCACCATCCAGCAGGGCGCTCCAGTCTCAGAATTCATCCTACTGGGTTTCACTTACACCAATGATATCAAATCTCTGGCATTATAGCCAACACCTCATGAACTAGATTGAGAGATATCATTAGTGCTTGTTTCCTCACTGGTCTGCAAGCCTGGTCCTGTCCCTTTACTCCTTCCAATCTTGTTTAAAGCTGTAACAAGCCCCACTAGTTTCTGTGTTTCAGGGCTTCCCTCAACACCCAGGGCTTTCACCACCACCTTAACAGACAGGACTACAACCACCACTTTGACCAACAAACATCGGATTTGCAACAACCAAGTCTCATTGGTGGATCCAACAGGTGTCTTGCGGGTCCTTCCAGTCTCCTGGGGGATTCACAGCCCTGCTCCAACTGCCTCTACTGGCACTGCAGCCTCACTCCAGCACCATGCAAGCATCTCCTGGTATCAAATCCCAGCAATCTGCCATTTCCTGCCAGCACTGACTCTTCAACCATTCCTGCCAGGTTTTCTGGGTGTGGGGATGGCGAAACACATGGAGGGGTGGCCATCTGGTCTCTGTCCTGTGGCCACATGTGTTTTTTCCAGGTTGAGGAGGCTGGCTGCCATCTTCATTTGGCCTGGTGGGCAGAGCTTGGGGAGTTTCTCCTCATCAGTTGGTTTAAACCAGTTATATCAGTATTGTTATTAGCATTTCTTCTTGCTAAAGAGGTACTTTTTCACTTACATCCAGGTGTATTTGGTCTCTCTGTACTGGAGAAACCAGGGGTATTGAATCCGAGGGATAAGATTTCTTTCTGAGGTCTCCACTCTTCCAAATTGTCTCAAACCAAGACACACAAAAATGATAAATGTGTCACTGAACTTGAAATTATGTTCCCAGTTATTCCTTCTTTCTTCATGCAACCTAAGCAACTCATCTTTGTATTTACAACAGTTTCCTCTTCTATCTCCACAAAGACCAGGAGGTATGGCCACTTTGCTGAATTTTAAAAAATACACAAGTTTTCTACATTCTTTGATTTTTAACGTTAAAAATCTATGCAAACACCCTGTTTGAAAGAATTTTCTCCACTATTCCTCAAAGCCTGCTTGTTAATACTACTGTCCTGTTCAGTAATAGCCTTTCATAAGCTTTAAGCTGTTTGAGGCTTATAAGAGACCTAAGACTGCACAAATTTCATGTATGCTACAATGCTTAATCACAACAGGCTGCAGTCCCAATGGCAGCCTGAGTGATATAACAATACAGTTTAAATGCTTCCTATAGCAGAGTATCACGTAGTACAGGAGTATTTCATTCTTCTTTGTATACTGATCTTCTTCAGCTCTAAATGTTGCATAGTTACTATGTAAACAGCATAAATCCTCTAAAAGTCTACTCTTTACTAACGTCTATTAGCATAAACCTGATCTAACCTTTTCAAGTCTTGCATTCATCTAGGTTTCAGCAAGCCTGTCAGTATTTCCTTCTAACAATTCAAATGCCACCTCCAGTTCTTAGCAGCATATATATAATGAGCTAGCTTAACAACTACATTAATTTCAGTTCAGAGTAGATATCTTGTGTGCATATGCAGATCTCTCATGCATTGCTGCCTAGGACAGTCTTCCAAAAATGAAGATTCTCACATCAAAATGTCTCATACAAAGACTTAGGCAAAGACAAATGGATTTTTGGTCTTGGAGAATGAAACATCTGTAAGATATTGATTTGCAATTACCTAGCATTACTACATTTGAAAAAAATGTTTCAGGTACATGCAATTTTAATACCAGTTCATCACCTGGTATATTTCAGTAGCACACTTACCTGAACATGTCTGAGATTATGTTTAGCAATTGCACTCCAAGAAGCTGATCTATGACTGAGATTCTATGCTCTGACTGAAGTCACAGAAAACTAACACAGTAAACACAATGTGTTTCTTGAAGATCATGATGACAAGTATTTAAAAGTAAAGGAACTAATCAAACAAGAACTCACAAAAACTGAAATTACTCAAACTTCTATTAAGACACAATCTTCATTAACTAACATAATCAAAGTCACCTTTCTAATATGGGCAAATATAAGCCTGACAAAATAGCATTTTCAGAAACCATCTTAAGATACTGAAAAAAAAAAAGTCTTTAAAAAAATCTTACCTCTAGATCTGTTTCCATAAAATCAAACACCAAGCTAATATTGGACTTGTGTCCAAATGCATCTATGAGCTGCAAAACAAAATACACTACGATTAAGCATGCTCTCATGCTTCCAGTTTTCTGAAATTCAACATCGCTGTAGACTATATGTGGATTTTCAGCTTTTTGAGAATTGGTTCAAGTTTTTTGATTTGCAACACAAAAATTGTTGCTCAGTTCAGCTTCTTAACTCAGTCTTCAAAAACTCAGAAAAAACTCCCCATTGAGTATGGTAATAACATTTTACACCACAATTGCCCCTCCTCCCTGGAGACAGGAAAAAAAGAGAAAGAATTAACTTTATCTTACACTACAACTAGTGTATTGCACACCTTGTCCTCTCCCCAAACTTCGCTGTTCTACAAAACTTGTACCCTTTATTGAGTACATGACTAAGTTTGCCCATGGATTCAACTCTGGGTATCTGCTTCATGTAAGTATTCTAAGTGTTAGGTTTATTAACTTCCCTTCAGATATTCTTAGGTGTGTATTCATCTTCGTAGCAATCTTTCCAGCAAAAATAAAACTCTTTGGAGAATATCCAAACAGTCCTTTTTTAGGATGAAGTTGTGTAACGACAGAATCAGTTTTTAGTTTGAGATAACACAAGCGTGATGCTGAGTGAAAACAAGAGATTAGCTAGCCTGGTATTCAACCTTCAAGCTGTGGAAGGTATGAGCTCCATGGTGCAGCTTATTCCTTAGTGTGATGGCCATGTGAACTGCCCAATTGCAATGCAGTCGTTTAAACAGCCCATAACAACAGCGACTGTGCCCCTTGTGCTCCCAACATCCACAGAAGTTCTGTGAGGACTACTAAGGGGGCACAACATTGTCTATTGCTTTTAGTACCTGCTTACGGAATTGCTAATCATAAATTTGCCTAACTTCTTTTTGAACTGCTGATGTTATTTGCTTCTACAATGCCCCAGTCAACAGATTCTACAAATTCATTACACACTGAATCAAGCCGTACAATTTCCACTCCCACTGCAAATATATTTTAAACACATCTCTTATTTTTAGTGCTACAGGGTTTGGAAATACCAGCTCTGCATGGACTCCACCTACCACCTCAGTTTTGTAGCCCCTCCCATTCCCAGCCTTTTCCTTTCCAGAATGAGGAATCCCTGACTTTTTCATAAAGAAGATACTCCACCTCTTTGCCATTCTAGTTGTCCTTCCCTGCATATTCTCTAACTTTGATAGCTAAAGCAACCACTTTGAAAATAACTTCACAATCCAGAAGAAAATTATACTTCCACTCTGAAAGAGTTAAAGTATCTGGAAAATTCGTATTTGGTCTAGTATTTATGTAAGACCTTGTAATTATCACTATGAGTTAACTTTAAAATATCTTTAGCTCCAGCTGAATACCTGTAGCTGTCAATTTATCAAAATGCAACTGAAACAATACTGATTTTACTCCTTCCAACAGAGATTTTAAGCATCTTATCTGTGTGCTAAAACCTAATAAGCCACATGATCTTCCCTTTACCATTTCTTATGAAAGCCTGCTTTTTGACTGTCTCCAGTTCCATATGAAGCAAACAATCAGGTAAATTCAGCAATGCATTCATTTGCAATTCTATCAGAAAGATGCAAAATCAGGTAATCTAAATTTCCACAATTCTTCCCACCATTAATATCCACAGAGCCCCCAGCTGAAAAGTGAAAGGATTAAAAAAACCTACTTTGCCTTTGTTATTGAAATCGGCATTTTGCCATTATAATTGTTGTACTGCCTACCTAGGGCTGGGAAAAAAACTTAAATAACATTAAGTAACAGCTCCATGACCCAACTACTTTTGAATTTCAGTCTGAACCTGTACCAAAATATTTGAGGACTGATTCTAAAAGCAGCATTCATTTTACTTACACCAATAATATTTGGATGGCTTAGCTCCTGTAACAGCTTTATTTCCCTGAGGGCTGTCCTGTTGATTCCTACATTGATGGGAAGAAAAAAGAAGATGAAAGAACAAAATGAAAAACTGGATTAAGCTCCAAATAAACATCTCGTTCTGTTACTCACTGACTATTTACTACTACAAATTACATTCTCACCACTCAGCAACTCACTAAATAACAAGTACATTGCCATAAGTAAGTAAATTGCTGCAGAATAAAAGTGGGCATACATTTTCTTCCACAGCACACACATTTTACACCACAGTAATCCAGTTTAGATTATGAAGCAACAAGTCTCCCTTTTGGCAAAAAGGGAAACTCATAGCAAAAGCCCAGGGCAAAAAAAAAGATCACCTTTTACATGGTACTGGAAGGCTTGCTTTTATTTTAAAGAAAAGTTTTATCTTGCAAATATCAGTTCTTCAACATATCTCACTTTCAGAGGAACGCATACTGACAAAGCTCATGAATAAACTTCTTTTCTTTTTGACACAGCATTGTTTAATAACACAAGACATCTGTTTTTCTACATTCATGCTGTGGCATAAATAAGGCATAAAAGGTAATTGACCAAAACCTGCTTGCCCTTGCTTGAATCTTTTCATAGCCAGATTTTACAGAGGAAAAACCAGAGGATGATGGGGGCGAACGGTGCGCTTTGGCAGTCACACTGATTGCACTGCATCAAACCACGATTCCTGCAGGGTACAAATTCCTCCTTGAAAAGTGCTTATATATGTGGCTTGTATGAAATCTGACAGGCAAACTGTGGTATGTCATACAGGAAGATTTAGCTGCATATGAGCTCAAAACCAGTGTTCTCCTAAAACCTAGGATAAAATTCAATGCTAATTTCTGGCTTTGAAAGTTTTGGGCAAAGCTACATGGATTCCTTTACACTCCTGCTTTCCCTGTTTTAATTACCTATTTTGGAATCAAGTTGACAATGGCTGCTTTTGGGTGGGCAAAGACTCAGATGATTAAAAAAAAAAAAAAGAGAAACATCATATTATAACACAGGGAAAGCAGATAAAATCATTATTTTCGATAACATCTTTCAATTACAGCTAGACACTATACAGGCCAAAGCAATAACTGTCCCTAAGGGCCATTAGCCCACTGAAGGCCAGGTGGATCATGACTCTTGGGCACCCAGCTCAACTGTGAGACTCTGTGATGAGTTTAGAAGTTTTTTTTTCATAGAATGGAACTGGAGAGTTGATAGCAAAGATTGTTCACTGAAAAGCTGGTGACCTGATGCAGGATCCCGGAAGGACAGCAGCCTGCACACAAACAAAATTCTACTACACCACACAAGCTGTAAAACAAGACCAAGATTAGTGAGTTTTAATTTGTAATATCCATGCCTAGAGGCAAGTGGCTGATCAGAGCATACACTCTACAGTGCTGAACATCAAACAAACCCACACAGAAACAAAAGTTTTAAGATTCTGGCTTTAACAGAACAAAGAAAATACCTGAAAACAGACGCAAACACTCTCACCCTTCTTAAAAATTTAAGAGATGCATTAATACAAAGAGGTTTTCTAAACTCAGTGCTGGTGCCGTTGTTATTATTTAATGCTAGATTCATGTCTATATTCCACTAAAATGAGAAGCTAAGCAGTTATATACTCATATTTAGATACATACCATGCATGCAGGTATCTTTTGTCTGTCCCTGCAGTTTACAAAGCAATCCTCTACTAAGCCTTACACTGGTCACTGAGCTCATTTTTCCCAAACAAGGTATGGTATGTGAAATTAATGTACCAATTTACAAAAACAAAGCAAACAAAGCACAGTTTCTACAGCAAGAATTTGTTTTAAAACTCACCATCTTTAGCTTCCGATCTATGCCCCAGTTTAATCTGAAAATAAATGTTTCATATTATATAAGATTAAGACATCTTCCTCAACAGTGGGAAACACATTCTTTACCATTACTCTTGTAAGATAGGATGAGTTTCAGCATAATGAAGCACTTTACCAGCTAGGTTGCTTTTAGTTGTTTTTTTTTCCTTAAAAAAATAACTGTTCTTACAGCATTAGTTTTTACAAAAGCTTAAAAATAGCCATGATGGCACTGAAAGCAGACATAACGCAAACTGACAGCATAAAATGCTTCGTAGCCACAAAGCTTTATTATATCACTAATGAGTTTCTTCTCAGGGAGAAATGAGAGCTAAGTAATTGACAATCATCTTAGAATGATTCTAGTAAAATTAGCACAGGTTGTAAGCTTGGGCTGTAAACTGGGCAGTCCTTCTGCCTTAATCATCTACTGCCTGAAATTTCAAGTCCAGAATCCCACTATGGATATTTCCAGATGACAAAAGTTAAGAAAATGTTCTGATAAACCCAAGAATGCTTTTCACAACAGCTGCTACCAGTAGCAACCATACAATAGAAGTATCACAATGCTAAAAGGGATTAGTGCATTAAACAAAATTACTTACTATTGATACAATTCAACTTGCTGAGTAAAGTAGGGTCTTTAACTAAAAAAAAAGTGCTGAAATGTGCAATTTTGTCCTTCACAAAGCATAGCTGAAGATTCATTTTTAATACAAAAACTTTCTGCAATCCCTTCAGATAGTAACAAGTGAAACACTTTATGACAACATAAACATTTTCATCATTTGTATCCAAACAAGTATGTTGCAGATCCAAGATCACTTTCATATTTTATCAGAAAACTACCATATGGGTAAGAGACATTACTGGAAAACTCTCAAGTCTAGTTAGGCCTTCTGATTACTATCCATTATTGGCTGCTCAAACTGGTAGCAATGAAATAAAAAAGAGAAGTCTGAGGGCAATCAAAAGAGACTTCAGGGCCCTGGAACGACTGGTTGCAGGATCAAGAGCAGAGGTAGTGATTTTCTTGATCCTTCTGGTAACAAGGAATAATATTTATAGGAATAGGCATATCCATCAAGTCAATGAGGCTGGTGTAACCACAAAAATTTTTGGTTCTTTGAGTATGAGATGATCCACTCAACACCTTGTCTACTGATACCTGATGAGATGCACCTATCTCAGGGGGGACAAAGAGTTCTAACACAGGAGCTAGTGGGGCTCACTAATAGAACTTTAAACTAGCTTGGAAGGGGGAAATGGACAAGACCAGCCTCACAGGCCAGTGATGAGCCATGGGATGATGTGCCAAAACCTAAGAAACAAGCACTAAGGGCATCCCTCAATATGCTTCACAAGGTGTTGGCCACAAAGTACCACACCTGAAATGTTTCTACACTAATGTACCCAGCATGAGGAACAAACAAGAGGACTTTGAAGATTTGTCCCAGTCTCAAAGATTTGACATCACTCGCATAAGTGAAACCCGGTGGGATGAATTCTGAGACTGGAGTGCCCTGCTGGATGGTGACAGGCTCTTCAGGAGGGACAGGCAGGGCAGAAGAGGCGGAGAGGTGGCACTGTATGTAATAGAAGTGTTAGAATGTATGGAGCTCACAGTGGGCAATGGCACAGTTGAGAGCCTCTGGGTAAGAATCAAGGGGCCAGCATTTTGGACAAAGTGTCCAGTATACAGCTGGATAACCATGTTACAAGATGGTTGAACATCTGGCTCACGGGTTGGGCTCAGAGGGTAATAGTGAATGGCGTTACATCCATTCACCAGTGGGGTTCCAGAGGGCTCCATCCTCGGTCCATTTCTCTTCAACATCTTCATAACAACTTGGATGCAGAACATAAGGAATACTAAGTAAGTTTGCCAGTGACACTAAATTGAGAGGAGCTGTTGACTCCCTCGAGGGTAGGCAGGCCCTGCAGAGAGATCGTGACAAATTAGAGAGATGGGCAATCACTAACTGTATGAAGCTGAACAAGGTCAAGTGTTGGATTCTGCACCTGGGATAGGGCAACTCCAGATGTATGTGCAGACTGGGGAATGAGATGCTGGAAAGCAGTGCCCTGGAAATGAACCTGGGGGTCTTGGTCGATGGCAAGTTGAATATGAGTCAGCAGTGCCCTGGCAGCCAGGAGGGCCAACTGTGTCCTGGGGGGCATCAGGCAAAGCATCATCAGCTGGTCGAGGGAGGGGATTGTCCCACTCTGCTCTGCACTGGGGCGGCCTCACCTTGAATACTGTGTGCAGTTTTGGGCACCACAATATAAGAAAGATACTGAGCTCTTAGAGAGCGTGCAAGGGAGGGCAACGAATATGGTGAGAGGCCTTGAGGGGAAGCCGTATGAGGAGTGGCTGAAGTCACTTGGTGTGTTCAGCCTAGAGAAGAGGAGACTGAGGGGAAACCTCTTTGGGGTCTTCAACATCCTCATGAGGGGCAGTGGAGGGGCAAGTACTGATCTCTTCACTCTCTTGAGCAGTGACAGAATTCAAGGAAACAGCATGAAATGGAGTCATAGGAGGTTTAGGTTAGATATCAGGAAAAGGTTCTTCACCCAGAGGGTGGTTGGGCACTAAAACAGGCTCCCCAGAGAAGTGGTCACAGCACCAAGCCTGACAAAGTACAAGAAGCATTTGGACAATGCTCTCAGGCCCATGGTATGACTCCTGGGGATGGCCCTCCGCAGGGCTAGGAGCTGGACTCAGTGATCCTTGTAGGTCTCTTCCAACTCAGCGTATTATATGATTCTCTAAGTTCTAAGGAACTTAATCATAAGTAACACTATGGACCAAAGGAAATTAGGCACAGCATGAGGAAAGATTTAAAATAAAATTAAATTAAAAAAAGCCACTATCAAGGTCTAATAAAGTCTACAGTTTGGAAATGTGTGTGTGTTGCTTGGTGTTTGGGGTTCTTTTGGGAATATACCTAACAAATAACCAGAAATTCAAGTTACAGGTCATACAACCTTTCAAAAACATAGCAAAGCCACTCTCTCTTCCAGGGTGGGGTGCGCATTACAGACACGTGAACTAGATAATTTAAACCAAACACTCTGGAAACAAAAATGCATATTATCCCACTATCCATTAAGGTAGTTAAAAAAAAAAAAAAGTCGTTACGCAGGTCAAGAGGAACCAGACCCTTAGTGACACACTGAGAAGACACTCTGACACTCACCTTCTTAATAGCCACGATTTGGTTATTGGTCTTGTCCCTGGCCTTATAGACAGTGGCGAACTAGTGAGAGGGAGAGAGAGAGGGGAGGAGAGAGAGAGGGGGGGAGAGAGATGCTGCCGTGAGCAGGGCTGACGGGCCGTGTGAGGGGAGGCCCCCACGCACCCCGCAGGCCCGGACGTGCCCGCTCCCGCCGCGGCCGGGCGGCCACAGGGGCTGCTCACCTGGCCCTCCCCCAGGAAGTCGAGCTTCTCGTAGCGCTTGGCGCGCGCCCGCGCATCCATTGCCGGCGGAATCCGCAGCGCGAGCGCTGAGCTAACCCCAGGCTGGAAGAAGCCGGGATGCGGGGGATTCCGGGGCGGTGCTATTGGCACCCCGCCGCGCCGTTCCGGCCCCGCCCCGCCCCCGCCCCGCCCCGGCCGCGGGTGGGGCGGGCGCGCCACCATTGAGGTGTGGGTTCGGCAGTCTTCTGGGAATAGGTCCGGCTTGTCGCTGTACGTGCCTGCTGAAACAGTCAAGAGATTGTCCCAGAAGCTGCTTCTGTTTTGATACCAGTCTCAGGTCTGCTTTCGGAGAAAACTCCGCATACTCTCTGCATAGAGAGTATATTGCATATTTCGTTACGCAATAAACCCTTTATTATTGTTTAGAAGGAGTGCTCTCAGCCACTTCATTAGATTTTACTGGAAAAATCTTAATTATACTCTTTAAACATCTTCCTTATGACCAATTATTTACAATATAGTTCTTAAAACTACCATTCAGTAGCTATCAGAGATAAATACTTACTGAGAAATTTCTCATTTGAAAATTAATTTCCCTACCTGCCTAAGCTTTGCTGTTCTTTACTAAGTTACTCGGTGAAGAACCTCCGAGAGTACATCAGTGTCCCTTTCCTGCCTGTAAAATCATTCCCAGTGGATCATCCTGGCAGGTCAGCTTCACCTCAATCCCTGGAAAGGTGAGGCTCATTCTGGAAGCCATCTGTATCTACATGGAGGACAAGAAGGTGATCAGAAGTAGTCAGCATGGGCACACTAAAGTCATGCTTGATCAACCTGATTGCTTTCTGTGATGAAGCACTCTCTACCTAGATGGATGAGGGGAGAGCAGTGGGTATTGTCTACCTCAACTTCAGCACTTGGACACTGTCTCTCACAACATCCTCATAGGCAAACTCAGGAAGTTTGGGCCGGATGAGTGGACAGTGAGGTGGACAGCAGATCCCAGGGGATCACAATCAGTGAGGCCTGTCACTAGTGGTGTCCCCCAAGGCTCAACACTGGACCCAGTATTGTTTACCCATGACTTGGATGAAGGGACAGATGCCTCCTCAGCAAGTTCACTGATGACACAAAGCTGGGAGGAGTGGCCGATACCCCAGAGGGCTGTGCTGCCCTTCAGAAGGGCCTCAACAGGTTGGAGAGATGGGCAGAGAAGAACTGTCTGAAAGTCAACAAGGGCAAGTGCAGGTCCTGCACCTGGGGAGGAATAATCCCCTGCACCAGCACAGGCTGACGGCCAACCTGCTGGAAAGCAGCTCTGTGGAGAAGGACCTGGGGGTCCTGGTGGACAACAAGCTGTCCATGAGCCAGCAGTGAGGCCTTCTGGCCAGGAAGGCCAATGGTATCCTGGGGTGCATTAGGAAGAGCATTGCTAGCAGGTCGAGGGAGCTCATCCTGCCCCTCAGCCTTCGTGAGGCTTCACCTGGAGTGCTATGTCCAGTTCTGGGCTCCTCAGAAAAAGAGAGACATGGAGCTCCTGGAGCAGGTCCAGAGGAGGGCTACAAAGGTGATGAGGGAAACTGGAGCATCTCTCTTGTGAGGAAAGGCTGAGGGAGCTGGGCTTGTTCAGCCTTGAGAAGAGAGGACTGAGAGGGGACCTCATCAAAGTATGCAAGTATTTGAAGGGAAGGTGTTAAGAGGATGGATCCAGGCTCTTCTTGGTGGTGCTGAGCAATAAGATAAGTGGTGACAGGCAAGAAACTGATGTGCAGAAGTTCCACCTGAATACAAGGAAGAACTTCTTTATTGTGTGAGTGACTGCACACAGAACAGATTGCCCAGAGAAGTTGTGGAGTCTCCCTCACTGCAGATATTCAAAAACCACCTGCACGCAATCCTGTGCCATGTGCTCTGGGATGACCTTGCTTGGACAGGGAGGTTGGACCAGATGACCCACTGTGGTCCCTTCCAATCTTATCCATTCTGTCATTTTGTGATCTCAATCGGTAGAAAAATAAAATGACTGCTAAATTGTTGACTTTGCAAATGGCTAATTAAAAAAATATTTTAATTTTGCAGACATCATATATATTCAATTGCTAGTTACCCACCAACAGAAAATCCTTCTCAGTCACAAATTGGTATCTTATGTGTTGTATCAACCTTGTCACCCATCATATGGGTTTTTATTAAAGCTATTAGTATACAATAATTTTTAATATTAAGGAAATGCCTTTATTGTGAATATAGTACTTCATTCTTCAGCAGTGGCCAGCAAACTATCTTCTACACTTATTCTGGACCTCCACGCTGTAAAAGAAAATCATACAGTTAAATTTCAATTCTATTGAATGTAAAACTGAGATCAAATCCTCTTTTGCACTACTGTAGACTAACAGAGCTCTAGTTTTAATTTCTGATTAAAACATTTTTTTTTTATCTGTATAAGAACATGAACAGAGTGTCAAATATCAGCATCTGCCAATAACAGTTCAATTTTTTTCAAAGGAGAATAAAAAAGAAATTAACGCATGCAACCCACAGTTACAGCTGCTTCCACCTCTCCCTCTCTGAAGAGACCTGAGCCTTACCCTAGAAACGTCCAACAAACACAATGGTAGTGAACACAAGTTTTAAAATTACTCTCACTGCCCACATTCCAAAGTGCAAAGTAAAAAAAAAAAGCCAAGGTGAGCCATTACAACCTTTATGAGAAACTAGAAAATTATTCAGGTCATTATCTTCCCAAACAAATTATTTTACAACTTAACTCACTGTTAAGAAACTTTATGCTAGAGGTCAAGAAGTGTATCATTATTAGAAATACTGATTTTATTTCTACTACATTGATGCAGCCTACCCACGTACTTTCAGGAAGACTGATTTCCTCTACTAACATCATTATGCTGTACGTGTCCTTATCATTTAACAAAGCTTTGCAAGCATCTTTTCATTTCAAACTCACAATCACTTCACAAATTCTGTATATTTTGTGCATTCAGTATATACAACTAAGAATTCTTACAGAAGAAGCAGGCTTTTCTTGCCTTTCATGTACAATGCCATATTTGCAAATATTGTAGAAAATACTTATATCAAATTTAATAAAATTTTTTGCTACCAGAAATACAAGCTCACTAACATGGAACTTAGAAAACTAGTTTGAGAAATATTTTGGACTTTGATTACCTTTACTGCTCTAAGAACAGACTCTTGTGCTCATGTCCAGCACAGTCAAATTACATATTAAACAGCTGTTATAAAGCAGGTAGTGATGGTGATTAACATAGGCTATGACTGTTGCTAGCTTACCTGTATGTCTGTTCTAAGTCCACATCTCTCTGCTCAGCAATACCACAAGCTACTAATCAGCGAGAGTTGGGTATCTTCTGTTTTAAGAATTAGTAGCTTGGATATTGTGCATCAAAGCCACGAAAGATCAGAGCAGTACACTTCCCAATAATTAGAATGTAATACCATAGAAGGAGGTGTAGAAATAAGCTAAAGAAGAAAACTTACTTGAATGTATTCAATCTCTTCATCTGACATTTGTCTCCTTCTGTATTTCTGAGGTAAGGTTCTTGCTAATTCAGAAGTGTCTGGTGTACCTTGTACTCTACTAACAGGTGAAATATTTTGAAATGCTGGTGATCTGCCTCCTATAGACTCTTGTGCTTTTGAAGCATGGAGAGATGGCACATGTGGCTGTAGAGATTCCTGTACTGAAACCCAGATCGCAAAATTTACAGAAATACTACCAGTCTGTAAAATTAATAAGCAACCAATAAGAGATACCAGTGCTTGAAAAATCTTAGAATTAAGTCACTCTTTCTCACAACCTGGTTTTATTGTTGTTAAATGCATAGAGTGCAGAATCTAAAAATTCTGACTGTAAAATAAAGCGTGTTTGAGTGGCAGAAACACTGATGTAGAAACAGAAGATACATCAGCATATACCCTAACAATGGCTTTTTCACTGGGAAGCTATTCTTAGAGAAAAAGCATAAAGTACTATAATGTATGTTTGTGAGCAATTATGTAGAGAGATAACTAGGCCAACTAAGATCACTTTTCATTTATGACAACTGTAAAGACAGACAAGTGAAAAAGAGTAGAAGCTTACAAAAAGATAAGCTTACAACCACAACAGCAGACTATAACATGCAATGCAGTGTTGTACCCATCTTTAATATTAAAAAATGGCACCATATCAAATTTTGTTAGTCACGTGCAGAATGACTACCAAGTATCAGGCATCACCAGTCAATATTAAGACATCTCCTACTTTCATTTCAGATGATTTGTTGATCCCAAAGGACTACTAAAACAACATATTGCTAATATAAATCTGAGGTTTAAATATAACAGTATTGGGAATACCATAAATATCAAGGTAGATACAGGTATAAAAGTTAATGGCAAAGACTGTGATGAAATTATTTTTTTCCTCAGCATTAATTAGTAACATGAGGAAATATTTCTAAAATGTAGAGAGGGATGGCTCTCCCAGCTATAATCATGTTTTGAAAATACGGCAGACATTGCACACTTCAGCTAAGAAAAGATGAGGAAAACGCAACATCATTTCTGCAAATATCACTGAATATCTAAAGCTGCTTCAAACTCACTTGGGCACAGTTATTTCAGGTAAATATTAGTATTTGGAAAAATGTGACTTTTATATATATATAAAAGTAGAAAAGCAGCACTGGAAACCTTTGTGAATCTGTCTTGATCAAGCAATAAAGACATGCATGCATTATGTGTGTACATAGATTTGTATAGTCTGTAAAGAGACAAAGAGTTGTCTCCAAACTAAACCAAGCATGTTTCAAAAATCCTGCTCCAAATCAGTTGAGTTAGATAGTTGAAAGAGAAAAATTGTGTGCTCGTTCCTATATAAAACAGTCCATGTAAAGAAATGTGGCGCAAGCTGTATCCGTGCATGAAATACTTACTTTTAGGTCTGGGACCACTTTTTCTGTCAGGGAACTTAATTAATGGAGTATGTGGCTTGACTACCTAGAATGAAGCAAGGTAGTGGGAGAAACAAGAAACACAAAATATATTTCTAGAAGCCAGTTACCTTCAAAATAATAAAATGGAATGTACAATGTATTAAACAACCACACTGTACTGCTGCTCTCTGCACGACTACCCTGATACACTTACTGCTTCTTAAAGGTCTAAGTTTACCCCAGTAAATTTCACTTTTAAAGGTATTTCTGCACTCTGATGTCCAGACCACTTACAGGTGTAATTTCCTTTTCTCACAGCAACATCAGTGTGTGCAGAAACAGCCACTGCTGTTGCATAAATGCAATCATAATGCAATCTGCTCTGGTGAGATCCCACCTGGAGTGCTGCGCCCAACTCTGGGGTCCCCAAAACAAGACTTGCTGAAGTGAGTCCAGAGCAGGGCCACAAAGAACAGAAGACTGGAGCACCTCCTGTACGAGGAGAGGTCTCTATGAGAGACCTGGAATTGTTCAGCCTGGAAAAAAAGAAAGCTCCGGGGGGACCTTACAACCCAAAGAAGGCAGATTTATACTAGATATAATGGAGAAATTCTTTACTGTGAGGGTGGTGAGGCACGGCCACAGGTTGCCCAAGAAGCTCTGGCTGGCCCATCCCTGGAAGTGTCCAAGGCCAGACTGCATAGACCTTTGAGAAACCTGGGATAGTGGAAAGTGTCCCTGCTTACAGCAGGGGGGCTGGAACGAGGTGACCTTTAAGGCCCCTTCCAACCCACACCATCCTGTGGGTTCCATAAAGCTCTAGCAGACGGAATCGCGACCTGTACGTTCTGTCTATACAAAATGCCTTCACCTTGGAGAGGGACAGCCTAGGAAGGAGCTGCCGGCCAGCGCCGCACCCTCTGCTATCACAGCACCTGCGACACCCGTGGGCGACACCGCCCGCCTCTCCCCAAGGACACCGGCCGCTCCGGCGGCGTGTCCTCAAGCCACCACCGCCTCAGGTCTCCTTCTCGGCGGCAGCAACAGGCGAAGAGAGCCCGCCACACGAGCCAAGGCTCCGGCTGCCTCACCCTCCGCTGTCCCGAGGCCGCCCTTACCTGCACGCCCTGGTGGCGGCCGCCATCTTGCTGCCCATGGTGACGAGCCGGTGGGCAGCGCCGGCCCCGCCCACAGGGGGGGAGCGCCTGCGGCAGGAGGGGCTGCGCAAGCGAGCACAGCGCCTCAGCCTCGGCGGCGAAAAATACCCAGACCGAATAAGGCCTTTTGACTCAAATCAGCCTTTTATTCTTATTATCCGATCAAAGCCCACCTAAAAAAATAGCTAGTTAATCACCAAGTTAAAAATGACAATATAGCCTAAGATACAAAGAGACAGTACATGTCTCGAAACATGCTAAACACCCTAAGCTTCAATTTCATTTGAACATCATATAAACAAAAAAAGAAAGCAAATACTGGTGAAAATATGTAGATAAAACACTGCGTAGCTGCACGGTCGATAGCATGAAGTCACCACTTCAGACACAAGTGGCTGTTAGAAGAACTAAGAGTATAAAAATTCTGCTGTTTCAAATTATACAAAGTGCTTTAATAGCAAAAAAATCCCAATTGTAAAGACTTGCTAAAAAGTATTTCCATCTTGGGCTTTCCACTGGGACAGAGCAGAGTCAAGTACCATGTCCGAGCTCTGCAGCCTGCTCATCCCCAGGAAAAGAGGACAGCAGAGCCTTGGTTTAAGTCCACTTTTATGTAAAAGTTTGAAATACACAGATTATTCATCTTTCTTGCATTATTCCTGTCTTTCAGAGAGCGATGAGGTTTTCGGACAGGACAGCTATGAAGTGGGTCTTCAGGTAGTTTCATTTCATCAGTTGCATTACCCATTCAAACATTTGTTGTGTGTCAGAAATTTAATTTAATTTCACAGAGTTGCGTGGACACATTCTGAGTCTCTAGAGAGAAAAACAACTTTCTGAAAGGTTAAATTAAAAAATTATTGATGTGTGTTTAAAAATATAGTAATTAATTAATATTAATTAATATATTAAAATGCAAATAAAATTAAACACCATTTCTTCTGATTCATGGAAGATGGACATTTTTTTCGAGCTGTAGAACAATCGCCTTTAAAGACGGATCTTCTGCCCAGTTAACTCCGCTTCCAATTATGATATTCTGTAAAAAAGGAAGATTTATTGATTAAAATAAGCCCAATAAAATAACTCAAAGAAAGCCTGTTTTTTAATTTTTAATTTTAAAGTCCTTGAAATCCTCAACAGGGTTTGAATAGGAAGAATGGGGGAAAAGAGGAAAAAGGGAAGTATTGGTTTAGATCCTACTGTCAATACACAGCCAATAAAAAGCAAAGCTTTTAATTTCCTAGAGGAAAATGCACAATAGTAGTAGCCATACCATGCAGTTCAAAAAGATGTGACACTGTCCTTGAAATTCTTTCTCTGCTCGAGGCCCTTCCACCCTACCCCAAATCATGAGGTTTTCTTCCTCACTTTGCAGGACTCCACACTCCAGACAACCTGCCAGCCAGCTGCATGGATACAGACTAGTCAGAAGAACCTGACAGATGTGGAACTGAAAGGGCAGAGGCTATGCTGCTGAAAAAATCTGGAGACAGGCTGTGGCTGCAGGCCAAGGCTTTCAGAGGGTTTCAGTGGGTGACACAAACACAGAGGGCATGTGGTCAGAAGGAGCAGATGGAGGTTCAATGGTAACGTGGGATTAACACCTATTTATTTTTCCTAACTGTGAGATGGGGGAAGCTGATTTGGTAAGGTGCAGAGATGATTCATAGTATAAGGAAACACAGCAATTGCTGTGACAGATGTTCTAAAAGAATATGCATTATTTTTGTAGCTTTTGTACTTTTGAACAAATATAGATTAATAGACTGTCTCTAAACTCTGTGAATAATTACTCCAAAGAAGTGTGTAACCACTTCATGTTTTTAGCCTCTAAAGAAACAAAAGTCTTCCTTTCATACTGCAGTTTTTCTTTTACTGCTGTTACATAAAGTTTTTAGAAAACCCAATTTTGTGTTGCTGAAGTTATATTTGCCATACACTATATTATCTTGATTGTAATGAAAAATTGCAAACTTGGTTCTAAACGACATAACACATTACCTGAAACACATTTTGAATTACTGTAGTCATCAATCTTTCTTTTTCTAAGTTCTGAAGCATCTTTGCTTCATCCAGGTTCTTATTTCCTTTTTCCTTCTTTTGTTTTTTCTTCATAGTCTGAATTTGCTGTAGTTTTCTTCTTTGGTCTTTTTTTAGTGCTGTTCCATCATTAGGAAGATGAAGTGTTAAGAAGTAGTTAAGTGAGCAGTAGAACTAAAGATACTCTTTTTTCCTCATAGCCACCTAAAGAACTTCCACTGCAACAACCCTAACTTCCCACTCCACCCTTTCCCTCCAATATGCCTCAAGATATTTCTTTCACATAAGAGGTAACACATGCTGTGGCTATCTGGTATCAAACTACATCAATTTGTTCCCTAGTTGTCAGCAGAACAGAAAATACCTTGTATGCTGTCTGCATTTCTTTCAGATAGGGACTGCAATTTCAACATGTGTCTTATATCCTGTTTTTGACTGCCACAACTTTTATAGGTCTTTTTATAGACTTTTAAGACCATTTCCCCTTTTTTAGATTTGGTTGAAATCAAATTCCAAAGTTGTACAAGGAACATATGGACATGACCATTGAATATTACTATTTTTATAGGAAACCTGGCTAAAAACTAGACTGATTAAAACTGTTAAGGGACGGTTCATACACTGAAAGAATGCTGCAAAGCATTCCATCCCTTATTTGCAAGGATATCAAGGATGTTAATTTTTCATATGAAAACAGTTATTTCATTGTGCTTGTTCCTTACTATCAACATATACACAGCTCTTTATGTGTGAACCAAACAATAGCTGTTAAAAACTGGTGGCAAATCTGGTCATGACAGTAGCAGCATTCAAAAAACACATTTGCCTTACAAAGTTCTGAATACTGATTTCACATCTAATTTTGACCCATTCTTACAAGACTATATATATGTACTATTATGAGAGTTCTTTATAAGTAAATCCCCTCCATATTCCGCAAACACCTCAAAAAGGTGCAGTCTGACAAAAAAAAAATCTGTTAAGTGCTGTAGGGTTGATTTAAGTTACTAAATGATGTGTAATTTCCTGGGGAGCTTACACCAAATAATAAAATGCTGCCAGGTTGGTTTTGAGTATTTTCTTGCATCTCTCATTACATGTCAGTCTCATGCTCAAGTAGGCAACACATCAGTTCATTTCTATAGTAGTGCCCACGCTTTTAAGAAGTTTTATAATTGTGTTGAGAGTTTTGTTACTTTACATATCAATTAATATTGCTATAAGAACAACTTTAAAATATGAACTGTATGTTCAAATACAAAACAGTCCATACAGCTAACAAACTTACCGAGTCTTTTCCTTTTAATGTCAATCAACTTCTGTTTCTTCTCATGTGCTAGCTGAAAGGAAAAAAAAAAGTATTTCCTAGACTCGTCTCCAAAAAATATTGAAAGACACTAATTCAATCCACAAAAGCAGTTAAGAGCAGCTGTAGAAGCAGACTTCAGTACATATTCTCTTCAAGTAATCATTTCAGTAATTTTGATAGCAGTAAGAACCTTTGCACCACATACTTAGCTTTAAATGACTTGTGCAGTCCTGTTGCTTTCAAAGTGCACTCCTGCCCATGCTGAGGTTGGTTGACCTGCACAACTGTAACAGAAGCTACAGTTGCCACTTACCTGCTGATATTTGATTATTGTCCGGCTGAGCAACACTATGCGATTCACTGTTTCCAGGATCAGACTAAGAAAGGAAACACAGTTGAATACCTTAAGACCACTAATATAAGTCGATATCATAAATGTTTTTATCAAGGTTATTTGGTTTAAATACAGAATTTCCTGTTTGTCCTGACACCAAAATAATATTAGGTGTCTGGACCCTTTCTTTTTTACAGTTAGTATACTAAGTATCATTGTAGGGGCCAAATAGTCCCCTTATTTCCCTCTCAATTTCCCTCTCAGTTTCTCTAAGGTTTTGGTTAAATCTGTTTAACATTTTGAAATCACAGAGCATGGAAGACATCAAAGAACCCTAGCCAACTGGGAATGGCTATGAATTAAAGGTCCTGAATTCTGGCATGTGGCAGAGACATTACAGAGACGCAATCTCTTCAGCTGCATTTCTGATAGAAATTAAATTTCTCACATTACACTTCATATGTGTGTACCCATTAATATTGGGTAGGAAATTAAAAGCTAATTTTAAACATGTTTATTCTTTCAGTTCTTTTGCAAAGTCCCTTTGTTCCCACATGAATAATTAGTAAGTACAGCAAAGCAGAGGCAAGGCCCAGTTACAAGCCCATAATATGTTCTCAGCTATTGTAAATGCAGGTAACTCAGGCCCCAAAGGCAAAAAAACCTCTCTTAGTTACAAGCAGTTTTCACTGGTGAATCAAAAGTTAGATCTCTATAATCAAAGGTTGGTTAATTCAGAGCCCAAATGTAAATCCATTGTGGGTATATGAGGTCTGATCATGTTGATTCTAACCAGATGGTAGACAGTATATCATTCAGTCAAACCTAGAAGAAGGAAGCTTGCTTTCAAAAGAGGTACAATGAAGTAATCTAGAAATGTGTCACAATATGATGTGCAAAGTCCATTCCTTTCTAGCCATCTGATTCCAAAGAACACCTTACCATGAGTCTTTATCATCTTGATTCACTTTGTTTCTTAGGGCAGCCATAAGCTGGATCCTGCATAGTGTAAGGAATAACATATGACTGATGAGAACTGATAAGAAATTGAGAGAAGCAGGAAACTGAAGGAAGCAGATTTAAATAACAGAAAAAGGTAATTTCCAAGATTCCATTTATGTCCACTGTCATATGAGAATTATATATACAAAATACTAGTACATTTTAAATATCACACTTAAATAACAGAGTTTAACTCTCAGGACATGGAAAGAGTATTGATCATTATTTGTGAGAGTGACAACTCCTTTCTCTCTTGCCAAACATACCCAGACATGATTAATCCCAGAGTGTGCAGAAAGGAAGCTGGGCAAAGGTGGAAATTCAAATGAACAGCAATGTAACACAGGAGATGTCTAACACTATCAAATTGTACCTTTTCATATGCATTTATAAAATACATCCAGGAAATATGCTTACTGATTTACACAGTCACACTCTTGCAACTGTGAGGGAACTTTTCTGTTTACGCGTTTCATCTGGTAGGGGGTTTTTTTGGTTCTCTACAGCATGTTCATCTGTATTCCTATGGTTTGATGGTACTAAAATCTCCCCACCTCCTCATACCCCTTTGAAATTCCATTTTAACGAGACTTATGTATATATGCATTTATGTGTGCACACACAGGGAGGAAAACTCCAAATAAAGGGGGAAGAAAATTCTACCTTTGCAAGGCCAATGTCTTGTTCCAGAAAGTGACTTGTATTTCCTCTTTATTTGTTTGCAAATCTTCTGTGACACTGAAGGAAAAAAAACCCAAAAACAACTAGACAGACAAACCCAGTGTGAAGATAACAAAAAGTTTAAAAGTAATGTCGCATTTTAACTTTTTTTACATATATAATGTAAGAATTTTTCATGTGAACCACAAATTATTAAGGCCAGGAGTAATTTAGCATGTAGGACTATATTAGTGAATTCTAGCAATCACATGAAGGACTGCAAATTTAGAAGCCACATCACATAAAGAACTACATTAGGAGACTGAGTAAAGCATTTCTTCCCCACATTTTCTCTTCATTATTTTCACCAAACTGCTGCAATGTACTGATTGTTAATCCAGAGATTCACTAAGGAGTAACTAGAAGAGAACCTCCAAGCTCAGCTTCTAACCCTACTCCTTTTTATTTTAAAATACATTAAAAGTTCAAAGTTATCCAGTGACATACCCCTGAATATGCTTTTCCTCAACAACCTGATCGAGGAAAGTTGTTTCACCTGCAAAAGAGAACATCACTAAAGAAAGCCCAGTGTAGACTTTTACATACAATCTATAGAACATAAAGGATCAGCATTTTTTATGCAAGCAAGCTATTTCTTATTTCTGTCTCCAAGCTTTATAATCTCTTTTACTGTTACTGAGACTATATTATCAATCAGCTGTATCAGATAAATAATTAGATTTTAAAATATTTTCATTTAGCACTTTTTAGATGTGCTAGAGCTGGCTTGTGGCACTGCTCTATATATGCAGCTGGATGGTTCAGAGGAAGCGATGCACCCAGCCACATCCCGGGCTGCATCAGAAGTGCGGCCAGGAGATCAAGGGAAGTGATTCGGCCCTTTAACTGCCCTTGTGAGACTCCACATGGAGTACTGCATCCAGCTCCAGGATTCCCAACACAATAAGGTCATGGATCTGTTGCAACAAGCCCAGAGAAGGGCAATGAAATTGATTAGAGGGCTGGGGCACCTCTCCTATGAAGAAAGGATGAGAGAATGGGAGTTGTTCAGCCTGCAGAAGAGAGACTCTGGGATGACCTTACCAAGTCCTTCCAGTACCTGAAGGGAGCCTACAAGAGAGCTGGAGAGAAACTTTTTTCTAGGGCATGTAGTACAAGAGGGAATGGCTTTAAATCGAAAGAGGGCAAGTTTACACTAGATATAGGGAAGAATTTCCTTACTTTGAATGTGGTGAGATACTGGCACAGCTTGCCCAGAGAAGCTGTGGCTACCTCATCCCTGGAAGTGTTCAAGGCCAGGCTGGACGGGGCTCTGAGCAACCTGGTCTGGTGGAATGTGTCTCTGTCCATGACAGAGGCTGTGGAACCAGATGGTCTTTAAGGTCCCTTTCAACTCAAGTAATTCTATGATACCCCATCTTGGTACCCTCCTTGCCGAGTCAGATAATCGACAGACCACCCTGGAAGTCCTCAGATGATTGAAACACCTTAAATCAGTATTGTTGCCACACACTTTGGTAGGCTTTTGGCAAGACTTCAGCCCCAGTGACCAGATTCCTGAAAACCCTCATGACATGTCAGAGGAGTCTAAAATGCAAATCCAGAAAAGAGGGGAAAGGGCGACAACCATACGGCATCTTTGTAAGCATTCAAACACGTCTCAAGAGCCGCCTAGAAAACTCAGTAAAACGCGTAGCCAAGAAAAATATTTCATTATTGTAACGAGCACTTTTGAAGGATAATTAAAAACATATATATTAGCCACGTCGCATTATTAGACAGTGTAAGATGCCGCTGGGAGGAGGGGCGTGCTTACCGCCACGAACGGCCGCGCTGTACTCCATGAGCTGCTGCTTCATCTGGTCCCGCAGGCTGCGCCGGGGGAAAAGCGACAACGGTCAGACGCTGCGCATCCCGTCATCCCACCCCCCCCGGCTGCTCCCCGTCCCGTCCCACCAGCACTGACCGAAGCAGCTTGAGGACACCCGTGTCGTGGCCGCCCTGGGGCCACGCCTGAACCCTGCCCTGCTCCAGCTCCTGCTCCAACTTCCAGGACGTGTCCGCCATCGCCCTCACTCAAACCTCGCGGCTCCCGGCGGCCCGCGCGCCCCGCGCCTGCGCAGAGCAGTGGGGCGGGGCCCGGCCTGAGGGCAGCGCGGGAACGTGTGGGCGGTACGTGCAGCGAAGGCAGAAAAAGTAAAGCTGAGAGCAGCAGGCAAAGCGCAGTAATCCTTTTGTCTGACCTACTGTTCTCCTAGGGGTAGAGCCAGCAGGTGTAAGCCACTAACACAACTCACAAGTATACTACCATAAATACGTACCGAGTGAACAGACCTGCACTCTTTAAAACCATAGACTTCAGGGTTAAAAGAGACCTTTAAGATCAAGTGCAGCCGTCAACCCGGCACAGACATCATGTTCACCATTACACCATGACCATATTCACACTTTCTTTTGAACAGTACAAAAGATGGTGACTCTACCACATCTCTGGCAGCCTGTTCCAAGATCCACCAACCTTGGAAAGCAGGTGTGTTTGTCTTAGGGAAGGCAGAGTACAGCTTCACTAGTTGACCTCCTCCTCAGAGTCCCCAGTACTTCCCAGCCTTTCTCCTTCCTCTCTCCGCTCTGCCACCAGGCTGAACAGACCATCCACCTTACACAACTTTATGCTGCTCTCTGAGTCTGATCTGGCAGATGCTCTGCCACACATTAGCAGAGCCTGTACCAATGCTCCCATCTACACACCTCCAGGGAGGACCAGCCACACCACCTGGGCTGGCCCAAGAGCTCACTCAAGCTCTCACAGCACTGGTCACAGCCTCCAGGGAGGTGCCCCAACTGTAGAAGGTTGCCCCAACTGTACTGCCCTCCTCCTCCCTCTCTCTTCCCCCCCCCTTCCCACTCCCCTCCCCGATAAAACCTCACAAATAGTAGCACATCTTAAATAAGTTTAACACAGATAAGATACTTTATATATACAGTCAGGAGCATTCTGCTTGAGTTCACATGGAGTTCCAACTTTTTGACTAGAGGCTCAGCTAGATTCTGTATAATAGAAGAGCACAACTGTTCGAAGGTGTTTATCTTGATATTGATACTGGTGGCATATTTCTTCATGATTGCCTACAGGGAAATAAGATTATGTTTTCCCCTGTTCATGAAATAATGCTATTCCAGCTCACTTAAGACTTGGTGGTCGAGCCAAGCCCATTCTAGCACATAAGCTCGGGTTACAGCTGGCTCACACCATTTGAGTGAGATAGATTTTCAACTGAAGTGAGCAGGTCTTATCCAAGTCTGACAACAGTGGCTCAGCTAAGGCAGCCCCAGCACACCATGTATTGGTATTGACACTCAACCACACATGTCCCCCCCCCCTCCGCACTGTAAGATTCTTACCTTCTGGTGGCAACATCCTTATTTACAAGGACTACATTGTTTGCCATATGCTGCATAATTGGTAGAAGGTCACCCTCACTGGAAAAACATGTAGCGTTGCAGAAACGGTAACTGAAAGGCAGGGAAGCTATTAGACAAACCTAATAGAATAATCCAAGCACACTATGTTCTTGGTCTTCAGTCTGGCTTGGGCAATTGTGTTCTCTTGTCTCACAGTGGGAGGTTAACAAGTACTGTCCTGTTGCTATCCCCTTGTAGTGGATGACAGGGAGACGGGAACATGGTGAAATACCATGAGGAAAGGAGGAGGCATACACCTGGCCCAGAGCGGCCTTTTAAGCTGGCGCACAGGCACACTGAGTCTCAAACTAGGAGGTGGTCTGACAAGTACAACTTACCAACTCGCATCCATTGAGGAGTTTCAGAGGCAAACAGAAAACAGCTGCTGCAATCCTGGATGGAGGGAAGTGATCCATATCATAGTCCACAATGCACAACTCCATCAGGTACTTGGCAAGAACATATTGTTTGGAGTCCACCTGCAGTAAGTCAGAGTTAAGTATTGGCTATATCCAAGGCAAGAGTACCCTGTCTAGCCTTGGTTTAGTCAAGAAAGAAGAAATACATCCTTAGAGACACTTTCAGAACTACAGGCCTGAAGTTCAAGTGGTTTAATCACAGAGCAGTTCTGAGTTATATTAGGCTGCTAATAGTCTAGGACCACCCCTTTCAATGGCAGTCTAACAGTTACGTACAGTATTAGACAAGCATTTTAACATCCAGTTTGGGTGTGTGAGGCTCCTGTTACAGAGGAGACAAGACTTATTTCCACAGGGCTCAGTTGCTAAACTCTTGCAGTACTCAAAAGATTTGAAACATTTTAAGATGTTGACACAAAAGTTGCTTTTTCCAGATATAGGTTACAGTAACACTTATTCTCAACACTACCTCTGCAATATTTGAAGCTCTCCTCCAGAAGCACAGAGGGAGAGGGAAACCCAGAAAAAAGTCCAAGGCTTTCAGGATTCATCTTTCAGTGTCATCTCCATCTGGCAGATTTGGAACTTCAAGTAAGAGTAATTGGTTACATAGCTAAAATCTGCAATATGTGGGGACCAAAACTCTTCATATGTGCTGGCAATGAACAAAGCTGTGATACTAAGCAGTTGCAACTTTATCTTGGGAACAGGATTGTTCTATAGCAAGAAGCAGTAGAGATTTATTTGATAGATTTGCCTCAGAACACAGGTTTTCAAGGTAGTCAGTGTAAGGTGTGTTCTATGGCAGATTCATACTGGCCCATACAGAATAACTATACATTCTCTGTTACCTCTGTTGGGATCTGCAGGGGGATTAGAAGGCTTTGAGATCAAATCAGGGAGAGGAGTAAGCAGTTTTGAGACATCAGGTCACTGCTCATAGCTGAGGTTTATGTGGTGCACACAACTGAGGACCAAACGTCCTCTGTTGTTCAACTGTATTTTGCTAAGGGTAACATGTCCAGCTGTGGCTTATTAATATAATAAGTAAATAACTTACACGGACCCGACTAGCTTCTTGGGAGTGCAGAGCCAAATCCCTTTATTCGAAACAAACGCCACTCTTTTATCATGGTTTCAAAGTAACACGTGACTCTCTTGACCAACCACCAAGGGCATTTCACTGCCCATGTGTGGGAGTACTTTGGGACTTTCTTTCCCAGGATGCCTCATCCGGCATCCTTCCTGTAACCCGACTCCTACATCTCCCCTCTTCTTTATTATTACTAGGAAGTACAGAATATTACATATAACAATACATTTTAAACTTTGTAAACCCCCCTTAACAATGACCACTGCGTCACCTTGGTCTTTCAACAAACATACTTATTTAAATTTTTACCTGCAATCCTTGAGATTTGCTTGACATAAATTTGTACTTTCATTTCTTAAGGGTTTATGTGTATTTGGGATAAACAACAACTTTATTAACCTGAGGGTTTTTGCATAACTGGGTAAAATATCAACTCTCACTTCTCCAAGGGCCTGCATGTAATTGGCAACCAGGAAAAATTCAACTCCATTTCTAGAAAAGGGCCCTTAGAGAACAATTGTTGTGATGTAAGTGTAATTTGTTCAAGGCACATGAAGCATCTCTCTTCACACACACACACAGCTTCTCTCATTCATACAGAAGTGGCCACTTCACTCATACTCACCCATTTATACCTAGAATTTTTATTATGTCCCTATCTTTTAACTACACATTTTAGATTTATAAGTGGTTATTGGTTGCATGTTTTTCAATCTGTCACTTCTGGTAATTATGTCTGGCAACTGTATCTGTCTTGAAAATTTGAAAAGGAATTACTATGAAGAATGTAAGGCTTAACAAACCTAGATTATGTCTTACCTGCTGTCTTCCCCCCCTTTTTTTTGTTATAGAAAACTAAAAGTTAAAAAATTCAAAGATACATTCACAAGTTACGATCACAATATGTTAACATAACTTAAAACTCAGCATCTCCTGCAAACAATTAGATCATCACAATAACACAGTATATAAAACAAATTATCATTATAAAATGCTAATACAGTTTGAAACTTAGCATCCTTTGCAAGTAACCAGTTTAAGTTGTCTGTGGTTTTTAGAATGCAGTTAATTTTCAGCTTTTGTCTATCCATTTCTGTTAGCTGCTTTTTGCTTTTAGTAACAAACTTAACGAACATGTCAATAACAATTTAAACAGTCTCAGGTGGCTAGTGTGGAAGAAACAGATGTAGAGGTTAGGCAAACACGTAGTTTCTCTGTAGCTTTTTGTTCAGGAATAGTCTTTTTTGAAGTAAAGCAATAGAAGTAATTTTATGCCTTTGATTGTTCTTTACTTCAAAGTTGAAGGTTGAGGTAAAGGCTGCCTCCCCTCACACCTGAGCTCTGAAGGGGAGCCGAGCACACCCGCAGCCCTCTCCACCAAGCAGAGACCTGGGAGAGCGGTGGAACCCAGAGGGCTGCCCTGCTGCACCCCTCTCTGCCCTGCGAGAAGGTTGAGGTAAAGGCTGCCTCCCCTCACACCTGAGCTCTGAAGGGGAGCCGAGCACACCCGCAGCCCTCTCCACCAAGCAGAGACCTGGGAGAGCGGTGGAACCCAGAGGGCTGCCCTGCTGCACCCCTCTCTGCCCTGCGAGCTGAAAGGAGGGAAAGGGGAGGGAGCAGGACACAGAAAGGCCGCGCGGCTGCCTCCCCCCGGCCAGGAGGACACCCCGCTTCGCACCCCCGCCCACCCCGCTCTGTGCCGGGCCCTTCGCGCACGTACCCGGGTGGCCCTTGTGGCCACGGCGGAGCAGAGGGACCGGACGGACGGGGCTCAGCGGGACCAGGGAGACAGGCAGAGCCCCGGCAGGATCGGGAAGACGAACCGCGGGAGAAGAGACGGAGCTCCCATAGGATCCGATGGATGAAGCCTGGCGTGGCGGCCTCGCAATTAAAAACTCGCAGTAAATAAAATATTACTGAAAAACATTAACTTCTTCCCCGTTACGTACACACATACTGCTTGCTGCAGGAATTTCCTTTAAACTTAATTGTTCAAAGCGTTTTGTTGCAACTCTCTGCGTACAAGTGACTTGCCTGTGAATTATCCAGGTATGAGCTCACCTTCACTGCCATGATCGTGGTCCCAGACACCTGATTTGTTTTGGGTTCTGCTGCTAGCAGCTGAAGTAGGAAATTGGCATTTGCTCAGAGGAAGCTGTGGCAAGCACAAACGCTTTTCAGTTATGTCAACCTAATGATTTGAAAAGACAGAATCACACCCCCCCTTCCACTTTTCACCTACCTGTGACAATGAGGTTTGGTGAGATACTGTAAAATCTAGTACAATCATCTCAAAATAGGAGTGGCACATGTAAATATTAACTGAAGCTTTTTGTTAGAGAATGGTTTTCAAAACCAAAAGATCCACCCTACTTACAGGCTGAGCATAATTGTAGCACTGCTATTCAAGTGACAAGCCTTCTGAAGGAGACAAGGTGAAAAAAACACTGCCAAATGCGTACATGGACAAACCCCAGGATCCAGCTTTGAGAAGGCTGCTGGCTCTGCAGCACTGTCCTGAGATATGAGAAGTTGTGATTTATGCACACATTCTTCATTATTCAACACAAATGCAATTGCAACTTCTAGAAACTTTCTGACCACAATTTTTCAAGTCAGTCTTGTACTGCAGATGGCATTTTAACACATCACAGGAGGAATAAACTCACTTAAGAGTGACAAAAGAAACCACTCAGTTTGTATAAAAAGTTCCAGTCACAAGAGAAGCAGAATTGCTCAAGGACAATTCAAACAGTCCAGTCACAAGAAAAGCCGAAAGGCTTAAGGACATTTCAAACTGCATTCCTGGTAAATCTGATCTTATTATATAATTCCTACAACACTCTATCCTCCCACTAACATCAAGTCTGTTCTTACTATAATGGTACTTAGGAATCACTGAATACCATAAATGAGTAAACAATATGACAAAAAATAATACCGCTGTGATACATGGGATGATGAAAGATGTACTCACTCTTGCTAACACTCTCGATTTGTTGAATTCCAAGGAAAATATTTAAAGGCTGCAGACAAGTAAAAAAGGGGGCACAGGAAGCCTGTGAACAAATGTAAGGATAACTACCTCTCAAGGTGTATGTTATTAACCTGGTGGCAGGCATTCACTAAAGACACAGATTTGTTTTCTTCACAGTATTAAGACAACAGCATGCACAAAATTTTCTGAAACACACTCTTTCACCTACGAGTTAAGAAATCACAATTTACTGTCCATTTCAGCAACTTGCCAGGTCTCAGACTACTGTCACAAATTGGTATTCTAAACCTGGACTGCACCTTGGGTAATACACAAAAGTATAGCTGGCTACAGTACATCTGCAGCTGTGTTGTGGTATTACTAAAACAATTAAGTAAAAAAATTAAGTAAAAATAATGTATCTTGAAGAGGCAAAGTTTAGCTGAGTGCTAGGATGCTTTTACACTTCAAACTGTTGCATTTCCAGTTATTCATACAAAAAAGTACAAAAGATTTATTTCACAGAGTGGTTTGAGTTATGATTCTGAGTCTTCCCGGGAAAGAGAAAAGTGTCTTCATTTTTTGCCCCTCCCAATTTCTCACTGTTAACCTGTGGATTTCTCTTCTTAAATAATTTGATACAAATGTAACATGGTAACATGTATTTGCTCTGGTGCATTAAGTTTAGAAATCAAATTTGTATGCTGAGACATAATAAAAAACCTGTAGTCTTCTATTATATAACACAGTGTGCAAAACAAATGGCTTCCTGATTTTCACTCCCCATAATAAACATGCATTTTTTTTTAATTCAAAGTCTTCAAGCTATCTTTGAAAAAAAGAAAAATATTCTCCAGTTGATCATGTTTGCCTTCTAATATAAACTATTTCCATTTCCCATTGCTAACAAAATACAATACCAATGTTCCACATTTAAGAGAAAGTATGGAATATATCGGTGCTCATCTAGAAGTTGCAAGACTTCTGTTTAATAAACTCCAAGTACAGTATTTAAGATTTCAATTATTTTCATATATACAGCAAATATTCAAGTCCTTATTTCCTTTATAAAAGCATTTTGATCCAATTAAGAAAGACAGTATGCTTAAAAAAATTCAAATATATAGTACATTTGTTCCTGTACATGTATGTTCAAGATCTCCTGGCAAAAATACAAATATGGAATCTAACAGCTTCACCATTTACACCTCCTGTGGTGAACACAACTTTGTATCACATGATGTAAGTACCATCTTTGTAGTATTTCATGGATTCTAGTTGCTGAGTCATTGCAAGAACATCCTGAAATCCTGTACTGAGTCCGGACATGTGTTGAAAATAAGCCTCCTTCTCCACTTGGACAGTTAAGTTGTTTACACCAGCATCTTTCAGAATTGCTGTGACCTGAACAGAACAGTGTGGTTAATATTAGTATTACACTTCATACATATCTCACAGTAACTTGCAGTGTTCTGGCTCTGAAATGCTGTACAGGAAAAAAAACCCCTATCATAATCATTACTTCAGCAAAGCCTTTGACCGCATCTTCCATATCATGCTCCTGGAAAAGCTAGCAGGCAGCCCACAGCTTGGACAGTTGCACTCTCTGCTGGCTAAGAACTGGCTGGAGGGCCGGGCCCAGAGAGTGGTGGTGAACGGGGCTGCATCCAGTTGGCAGCAGAGGGGTGGTGAACGGGGCTGCATCCAGTTGGCAGCCGGTCACTAGTGGTGTCCCCCAGGGATCAGTGTTGGGCCCAGTTCTGTTTAATATCTTTACTGATGATCTGGATGACGGGATTGAGTGTACCATTAGTAAACTTAGAGATGACAGCAAGTTGGGGGGGAGTGTTGATCTGCTGGAAGCAGGAGGGCTCTGCAGAGGGACCTGAACAGTCTGGATAAATGGGCTGAATCCAATGGGGTGTGGGGTTTAACAAGGCCAAGTGGAGGGTCCCACACTTTGGCCACAACAACCCCATGCAGCGCTACAGGCTGGGGACAGAGTGGCTGGAGAGCAGCCAGGCAGAAAGAGACCTTTGGGTTCTGATGGTGGGAAGCTGAACATGAGCCAGCAGTGTGCCCAGATGGCCACAAAGGCCAATGGCATCCTGGCCTCTATCAGGAATACTGTGGCCAGCAGGACCAGTGAAGTGATTGTTCCCCTGTTCTCAGCACTGGTTAGGCTGCACCTCAAATCTTGTGTCCAGTTCTGGGCCCCTCAGTTTAGGAAGGACATTGAGGTGCTGGACTGTGGTCCAATGAAGGGCAATGAGGCTGGTGGAGAGACTGGAACACAAGTCCTTTGAGGAGTGGTGGAGGGAGCTGGGGTTGTTTAGCCTGGGGAAGAGGAGGCTCAGGGGAGACCTCATCACTCTCTACAACTCCCTGAAAGGAGGTTGTAGCCAGGTGAGTATCAGTCTCTTCTCTGAGGCAACCAGCAGTAGGACAAGAGGGCACAGTCCTAAGCTGTGCCAGGGGAGATTTAGTTTAGACATTAGGAAGAAGCTCTTTAGAGAGAGACTGGGCATTGGAGCGAGCTGCCCAGGGAGGTGGTGGACTCACTGTCCCTGGAAGTATTTAGGAAGAGATTGGATGTGGTAGTTAGTGCCATGGTCTAGTAGACAAGATGGTGTTAGGTCAGAGGTTGGACTGAGAGGTATTTTCCAACCTAGCTGCTTCTGTGATTCTGTGTGATAATGAAGAATTCAATTTTCTGGAAAGCAAAGACTAGCTTCAGAGGGTATGACTTTGCAACTTCTGCACAGCGGATAATTCTTAGTGTCTTGCATAAGGAAATATGTATCTTTTGAAGGAAAAGAAAAACCCAAGGCAGATAGGTAGTGGTAATGCAATTATAAACTCATGATTAGCATCCAGATATCCCTACTGTTTACTGCCTGTTTTGCAGGCCTGTTTTTCCAGGACCCTTTCTTTTCTCCGAGCAGATGTAGTGCCACTTTCAACAGTGAGTGTTCAGGCAGATGTTCTAGCAAACAACTCCTTATGTAGCTGATTCCAAGCTAGCAGGCAAGGGGCAGTACAGTGTCAGAGACCAGCTCTGAGACATTAATGGATAGCTACAAAAAAAAATCACACACGGAAGCTTTAACTTCAGTCTATGACTGAAAAAGGACTACTGAGTAGGAAATTAAGAGATTAGAGTCCAAGAATTTTGCACCTTACCTGCTGTACAATTCTCTGTTCCATCACATCTGATACCACTTGGACATGTATTGTGCCTGCCACAACACTTGCAGAGTGACACCAAAAATGAGGATCTCTGTAGGATATGACTCCCTCTATTTTTTGAATCTGAAAAGAAATTACATTAACAACAATTAAGAACTCATTTTAAAATTGTGTATGTGATATTGGTGGATAATATTTCACAGGGAAACAAAGCTGTGTAGCATAGCAGCTTTCCAACTAAGCCATATTCATAAATATCTAGTATTGAAAGGTCACCTTGCTACTACTGTCCAATACTGGAGGGTAAAAGTCAAACTAAATGAAAACCCCAGAAGAGCACAACACTAAACAAGATGAGAATAAACCCCCCCATATTTAGTGTAAACATCACAGGAACACACATGGACAGACTAACCTGAATGCGAGTTGAACATCTACCATTTCTAGGGCACCTGTTACCTCACTATTTAGCAGCTATTTAGTTACAACAGTTGAACTTAATTCAGACATAAATTCTTTCTGCAATTCATAATTTTTCAAATTGATCTTTGTTCTGAGTCTGATTGGGATGGTTTTTCACAGCAGCTGGTAAGGCACTGTGTTTTGGATTTCTGCCTACAACCCTTTTGATAACACACAAATATTTTGGATATTGCTGAACTGTCGAGTCTTTCTCTTTTGTACTGGGCACCGTCAAGGCCTTCTACTTTTCTCTCTGCCTTTGCCTGATGGGTAGGCTGTGGGTGAGCAAGAAATAGGGAGGGGACACAGCCAGGGCAACTGATCCAAGTTGTTTAGAGGGATATTGCATGCCATATAATGCCATGCTCAGCAGTAAGAACTGGGGTAGAGGAAGAAGAGGGGATTCTGACTTCCAAGCTGGCTGTTACTTGAGACTGCCTGAATATTGGCCTCCTTGTGGGAGGTGGTGCATTGCACTTTTCCCTTCCTCTACCTGTTAAATTATATTGTTTCCAGAGTTTTTTTGCTTATGCTGCCCTGTCACACTGGCAGTGGTGGTGCTGGTAAAGGAGGAGAGTGAGCAAGTGGCTTGTAGGGATGCCTGGCTGCTAGATGGGGTCAACTGTTGTTTTATCATGATGTATTTTTAAAAATGCTTTTCCTATTACCTTTTAATGAATTGCTCTTTGATTGTTTTCAAAAAGTGCCTTCTTTTTCCCCAGCCTCCCAGAATTACTTCCCTCATCAAAAAGTGAAACCACTCTCTGCACCTCACTTTCCTGTCACTACAGAAGTCTCTCCCAGACAAGTTCCATCTGTCCTTTTCTTTCTCATGTAGAAAAGAACACATTTCCCCCTCTAATAACTGACAGGACACATTCAGGATAGCCTTCCTTGAAGCCTCTAGTTGATGGTATTGTCAAAGCACTTTTAACTCTTTGTTTTACTCTTTGTTTTGTTCTCTACACTGAGGTCCACACTATATTCTGGGCAGGAACTTAAAATAAGCCAACAGCAAAGACCAAGTACAGCTTCAAAGCAGACAGAAAAAAAACTAACTAAAATGAGAAAGTAATTAGAAAAAACAGTTTAACTTTTGCCATCTCACCCAATGTGAACCAGTATGCCCTTCGTGATATGGACAAATTAGAAAATGTGAAATTACAGGCTCATGATATAATCCTGTAGTCTGAACTGTTCGCTGCAAGGTTCAGGGAACCGCCATGTTACTAAATACATTTCCCACACTGTTACCATACTTGTCTTACATCATACCCATAAAAAGCTACCCATAAAAGCAAAAAGCAGCGCAAGTCTTTTTAGCTGCAAAACAACTTTTATCAGTAGAACTACTAATCCTGTCACATCTCTGCAAAATAGATTTTAAACAACTTGAGACATGAAGCTAAGACAATGGAAACTGTCAGATTGAAGTACTTGAGTTGAATAATTATTAAAAACAGTTACAGTTTTGTATGTTTGTATACGAAAACATTTAGAATTGTACCTTTTCTAAAGCAGCATGCAGATCTTTCTCCTGTTCCGGAGGTATCCTCAACAAAAGCACTTGACAGGCATCTTTCAATAGTGGGATAACACTAAGAAAAATCAATGTAGCAATAAAGAGAGAGCAGAGTGGATCAGCTATGAGCCATCCAAATTGCTGAATAAATATCGTGGATACAATAACACCAACACTGCCAAGAGTGTCTGCTAACACATGCAGAAATACACCTGAAAACAAAATAAATGGAGTGATTAACAGTTCTGTCTAAAGTGTATGTATATGTTCAGTAGGAAAAACACAGTAAAGCTTATTAAATATCCTCAAGCTAAACCAAATATCCTCTGCCTAACCTGGGGCAAAATACACAAAACATTTAGCTTTTATAATGTTTAATTATAAATTATCATAAAACCAATTTTTACTCTATAGGCCAATGATCTAGGCAGGCATCCACAGATTTAACTAAATGTCTTTAAATTGTTAGTGGGATTTGTACTGTAATCATAATCATTTAACTCTCTATAGAGGGATCTATTGATCCTTAACCAGGAATAAAAAGATCAGT